AAAGAGAATAAGTTTTTGTGTGCGTTTCACTTTATTAACAAGAAATTTGCAGTTTCGTGTTTTTCCAAACATCTTCACAATAATATTTGTTTTGAACTATAAACTATAAAAATAAGAAAATATGTTTTAGTGACTTTTAGCACAGCAGAACTTTTTAAACACGTCATGCTTTGAATTATATAAGTGTGTTCTAATGTGATTAACTCATAGCGAATGAAAGTGTTGCAACTTGAGTACTTGAAGCACTTGAAGTGTTATAAATATCAATTTTTCCTCTAAAATCATTGAATTGAGAAAAAATAGATTGAATTCTCATGATAAACATTGCGAAAACTCCAATCGGAAGCTTCAGAATACATTTGCTTTTAACAGTATAATTGCTTCGCTAAAATTATAATTATTCTAGCATACCTTCACACTCTGTAGGATTGAAAATGAAGAGAGTGGAACATTCTTTTTCGGTGTTGTGTAGTTTTCTACAGCACTCACAATATTTGTCTGCATTTCAAATTAGCTCAGCTATTATATTGTGTAGTAAATCATTCTCCAATATGTGTTGCAATTTACTCTTCATGCTGCATGGAACATGATCAAATTATAGAACGTTAGAACCTTATTAGTGAGTTTATTGTCTCTAAAATTGGCGTTTCTTCTTTCTTTTGCAGGGGAACAAAGTCCGAGGACATTCGCTCGGATACGATGGATGGGGAAGATGTTCAATTTGGTGATGTTTCTGCTGGGCGCGCTGATCACCATGTCCGCCGGCGGAATGATGCTGGGCATGTGGAGTGTGAAGCTCGGCATGGGAGTTATGTTGCTGAACATGGCTGTCCTCCTGATACGGCTGCTGCTGTCGAACAATAACGGAGGTGGAGGCGGTGGCGGCGGCGGCGGCCTTTTCGGCGGCAACGGCATTCTCGGCGGCAACGGCGGCGTACTTCCGTTCAATGGAATGAATGGATTCGGGATGACCGGCATGAATGGTCTTAACGGCGGCGGCTTCAACATTCCACAGGGAAGGCTGAACTTCCAGATAATCTCGTCACAGTCGCCAATAATCGCCACAATGCCAACGATGGCGGTTCTGCCCAACACGAACGGCCTGACGGGCTCTATGATTCCCATCTTCGGCGCCAGATTGCCAATTGCCACGCTGGGGACGGCCACATTGGCGCCCGGAAGCAACGACCGCATGGAGTTCCTGGGGAACCTCCTGGGCGTAGCCCCAGTGCAGACAAACTTCCCAATAAGCCGTCAAATCGTGAGGAAAAAGTGAGAGGAAGAAGTGTTTTTTTCGAGTCTGTTCGCTGCTAATCACATGATTTGATTATCATTTCTCGCTACCAAAGGTCCTAAATATGTATGTAAATTTAATTTTGTACGAAAATATTTATTGCAATTATTCTTGTAGTTTGAATAATCACCCAAATGGTAAAAAATCCGCCAAAACAATCGCACCCAATTTTGCCAGCATCGCGGCGCTGCGCAGCGGCTGAGGGTAAACGCGATCGCGAGTAAGATCTCTTATGTGTAATTCTCAACATTTGCCAAAGAAATTAAAAGATATCGCAAAAAACTTATATTGAGCTTTCTTCACAATCGATTTATTAACCCATAATCGTCAGTTTATTATGAGAAAAGAAACACCATTAAATAGCCAAAAAATGTATCCTCAATTAGGTAATATATTTTAGAGTATTTAAAGAAAAGGAGTATTAAGCTGTGCCTTTTAAACACCTATCTACACTCAAAGAAGAGTCATTCGAAATGGTAAATAAATAAATTTCAATTATTTATTTTTCTAATAATTCCATCATTGCCATTTAGTTTTATAAGATGATCGCTCCTTAGTTGCGTCTCTAACTATCATATTTTCTTGTCAATAAAGTAATCATTTTCCTCTTTCTTACGCCTCTTCGCTTGGAATTGAGATGCACAAATAAATCTCTCCGTAATTTGCACTCTCCAGACAACAATAGCATTTATCATAGAGTTTGTCACTCTCAGCTCTTCTGTAAATATTCATAAGCAATTTATTATATAATTTGGAATTTATAATCTCAGACCGCAGCTAAGATCACACCTTTTATATATTATCTACATAGATACAAAGTATCTGCAGTAGCTTAATTTATTGCCAGAGCCACGGAAACACATTTCTGGTTTACAGAGGCGCTCAAAAGTGAAATTATATCCCACATTGTCTCTCCGTGATTCATGAGAAAATTCATTTATGCCGCGATCTTGAGGGAAATGCGCACCGATGTTCATTCCTGCGTTGAAATGTAATGCAGCACAGACAACGTGCTTGAGGTGAGACACAATTACCTATCTTGAAAATGATTTGTGAATGAGTGAAAAGTGACTTATTAGCACGTGCTCGAAAGAACTCAATATTGGCAAAATGATACAGAGAAGAGGCCCGGAAAAAGCTCTCTTCTCTCGCGGAGAAAGTGCACAAGAATTCACATGCACTTCAGAAAACTGTCAGTTGTATACTAACAAATGCGAAGATCTCCAGTGAAGATGAAATCCGTGGATCAGAGCAAAAAAACAGAAACATCGCATAATTATTGCCAATTAAGTTTACAATCTCGATAACTACCTGACAAACCTCCCACCTTGACCCTCAGAGACCTACCCATCGTCTAATTATTTCTTCTGTTGCTTACTTCATACGCTCAACTTGAATGTCTGCATCCAGCTATTTATGCCAAATCGTGTCTCCAATGCAATTTCCCATAACAAACCATCATTGAAGCTTTCAATTGTGAATCTTCACAAAAGAGCATCGGAAGATCGCAAATTGTGAAAAAGTGAAGTTGTGCCACTGAGTTGATTCTCTCCACATATTTTCTTCTCAAGCAGCTAGTGAGATTTGAGAAATGAAGGAAAGATTTTTGACTTGAAATTTTAGCTATCGCAGTTGTAAATGGCAACAACAAACACATCTTAAAGTTTTTCTTATGATGGAATTTTACGAAGCCTCCGAGTTTGAGATGCAAGAGAGGATTCAGAGTTTTGATAAATTAATTCAACGCTACAGCATCCACAAGCGTGAAATAAAAAATTATAAATAATCTACTATATATCGAGATCAATTTAATGATTTCTCCACCTGATCGCATTGATAGCTTATATTACGCGCACGCAATGCAGAGACGACTCGGCTAAACTGCTATTTCTCGTGAAAACAGTCACTAATTACATTACTTTACGCGATAACTCATCGAAATATTTTAATCCGCTGAATAGTTGGAATGAAGATGGATCTGCCTAACCTACAAGACAATGCGAGAGTTCAATAGGACGTCGCGAGCATCGCAGATTGATGGCGATGAGGAGAATATCGAAGTGAGGTGGAAAAGCTCTGAGCATGATTTTCTCACTTTCCATCATTAAGATCGCCACTCACATCTTCGCGCCGAGAGGGCTTCGGTGGGGCATGGCAAATATTTGCCTCATGTGCATTTATGATCCAGGGCCTGATGACAACCGCCGTGCATCCGAGAGGCGAATATTTATGCTGGCAACTCTGTCATTCATCAGTGGAAAAGCGTGGTGCCGAAGAAAAGGAATGGGTGAAATTATCGGAAAACAATCATGATTGAGTCCCATAGAGAGAAGGAGAAACATGCTGTGTCCTCCTTTGCCTCGCATATATTTATTCTGAATGTCGTCGAGATGTCTAACGCGGATGCACATGAGCTTAAAGCCACAATGCAGTGGATGGAACGCCAAGAAGAGCATCTCATGTACCTGAGCTTCGGTGGGATCCCAGAGTTGCGTCCTTTGTAGATTGAAATTCAAACAAAATATTGAACAGAATTCATCATATTCGCTCTTAACAGACGCAAAGGAGGAAAAGTTGAGATAGGTCAGGCAAAGACGAAAACATCAACTTTTACGCTATCAAATCTCTCATCCCACTTCACTTGAATAAATTCTGACCGTTAGACAGCAGTAGGAAAGGCAACTAATGGGTAATGTAATAACAATTATTACAATCTTCTTATCTTCAGCACATTTTCAATGTACAGTCTCACCCCATTCCGCACCGATAAATGGGAAGAAGATTCTGAACAGCTATGCCTTCCTGTTCTGCGGCTAATTTGCTCATGATTTATGGATTAGGTATGCGCAATGATCCGTCGAATTGGAAATCCTTATCTGGGCGCAGCTCCTCTCGCCAACTCTGCTCTGCCAGCGCACCGTGACCTGCTAATGTGTCCCATGAGGGCGGCGTCAGGGGGGCCCGGACGGGCCACGAAGGGAGTCGGATGAGAGTGGAAGGTCACATTGTGCTGAAAAGTACAACAATCGTGCGAAAATGTGAAAGTAATCTATTGGTGGAAAGGAAGATGCCGCGCATGGAAATGAAATTGTGACTCACTATCATCAATTAATGAGGTGAATCTCAGGCGGACTCTATCAGTGGGTATTTGGGTTCGTTGTCTGAGTCTTTTGTCTGGGCGACTCGGATTCTTCTCTTTGTGTCAATCACTCTAGCAAATATATTGTTACAATTTCGTTCCGATTGATAAAGTTTGGCACAATTCTTTGGGTGAAACGGAAGCCATAAAGTTCTACAATCACACAGCATCGAGTGTCGGTGAAAGAAGTGAGAAGATTCATTTCAATTTTCAACTATAATACACACAGTGAATTTTTCACAAACAAATAAATCGCTGGATCTCGCCTCTACTTGCAGGTAACTCACACACTCATGGCGATGCGTCGCTGGCGGAGGAAGAGTGTCTGCTGGTGGCACATAAATGATTTCAACTGAGATCGGGTCGGTATAAAAGCAAAGAGGTGGAAATTCTCGCGTCATTTTACCTTGATCTTGGATATACATCGCACCGTCTCTGGGGTTTCTTTCTTGCGCGCTCTCAAGTGAAGCACAAAAAAGGTTGTCCAGTAAAACAAGGCCCGAAGATCAACATAAAAGAGTTCAACAAGTCAATTTCACCTCTCAAACGAGGCTCTCTTTTCATACCACCAAATTTTGTGTGTTGTAACAATTTCTTGTGTTTGTTCAGTTGAAATTGAAATTTTGGACTCTTTTTGCTCTTCACCTTGGGCAATTTTGCTTGTTAGTCGGCCTTTTAAGCGCGAATTGGTACAGATAAGTGAGAAATTTAACGGATGATTTTTTCCCCTCTTTCCCTCAAGATCCCGCAGTGCGGCGTTGTGCAGTTTGATGAGAAGTGTTCTGAGTGCGTAGACTGTTTAGTGACACGCGACAAGGGATTCGGAAGAAGCGCGAATAATTGAGTGATTGGCATAAAATGGGCACTCTCATGATAATTGGAGTATCGACAGCATTCTTGCTGACAAGTGCCATAAGTGTTAACGCCAAAGATGGTTAGTATTGTATTCTCTTCCCAAGATTTTCCCACTAGGTCAGACTTTGCCGAAAGCCTGTCATTCAGTTCATGCGTGCTCAAATCGACATCGCGAAATATTGAATCACGATCCGTATGGCGCGCAATTACCATAAATGATCTCTTCCCCTGTACAGATGCATCGCCTATGCTGGACACCATCTTCTGTCCATTTCGCCCCGATCCGTGGGCCTGCACTCGACAGAATGTGGCGCGCATGCTGACAAATTGGGACGCGGTACTCGACGCGAAACTGCAGGAATTCAAAGGTAATTTCCATCAAATCATTTTTCCTCCTCTGCACTCATCACGGTGCGGAATTCTCACCCGCGAAAGCAAGACGTCTTCGGGAATGGCGTCTTGTACAGCCTCGCGGAGAAGCCGTACCAGTTTTTGCACAACGGAAAATACTCTCGAGTGTTGCAATGCTGCTGCACTAATTAGACTATCGGACGCAGTGGAGACGTTCATCTTCACAATGGTCAGTACCAGTTCAGAGGAGGCTATCATGGCACTGTGTTTGTGGAATTGGGACAGAAGCTTAGAAACTGTACATGTTCATTGCCAATGTAAATAACACTTGACATCTTGTTTCGCTAGTGACACTGAATTCTTCCAACTTCTGCCAATTTCGATATTATCCGCAACATTTCCCACACCGGAGAAATATGTGGGGGCGTGAAAAGATGAAATTGAGGATTAAGCAAAAGGGGAAAAAAGTCGCAGACACTATTGTAGACGCCTCGATAGACGCAGAAAAAGTGTGGACAGTCTGTGATTAGCACAATTGAGTAAATTATGTGTATTCAAACACAAACGTCTCTTCTGACTTACACTTGAGAAGAAAAAAAAATTGACGAAAGATTGCTTTCACTGACACGTAATTTCATCATAACAAGTCTTTTCTGAATGAGTGAACTTCTGAGAGACATATTTATGATATTCGTTTGAGATTAGAGATTAAAGTGAATTCAAGATTTGTAGAGTACAGCAATGTTGTTTTGGATAGAATATTGAGGAATGTTTCGCTCTTGTTGTATGAGTTTGATTAGAATAATTTAATTTGACATACAATATTCAAGAGACTTTGATTTCGATCTGACACGATTGTCGCGAAATGTAGTAATTAATGAACCTTAAAAGAAAAGCCGCCAGGGGTTTCATTTCTAATTAACCCATTGTTGTGTCCATCAGAACATGCCTAAATACATTCCCAGTTCGACCTTTGAATTTCTTTTCTTCGCGTGCGTGTGCTCAAATCTCTAAGCGAACCTCTAGTGAAATCCTTATGGGAAATTTCACTATGGTGTGATTGCAATCACGCACATAATTTCCCTCCACTTCTCAAGTCTTTTCACACTTGACACCGCGAGAGATTTAAGACACAGCTGTACGGCGAGACTGCTTAATACGGCAATTATGACACACGGAGAAAAGCGAAATGGAGGCAATTTTGGGTGAATTTCATTTTCAAACCTGCTAAATTTCTCATGGATATTGCGCACATCTGTATATGGTCTGTGGATGAGAATTCTTGTTGCTCTCCGCCTGACACATTTTTCCTGGCGTGCGCGCTCGGTCAACTTTCTTTCTCTGCCATTTACAGGCGCGATCATCTTCTTCTCTCCGCGATCGGCCAATAAATCGCTCGTGGTATGGTTTGCATTTGGCAGAGTCAGGTGGGAAGAGGACACTCTCGTTGGGTGATTTTGGGCATGTGGGACACTTCCCAGAGGATGATCTCATGATGTGTGCTGGTCAATTACATGGATTGAGATTTCGGATCACCGGCTTCTCCTTTTCTTTTTCACCCACCATTGAGCAGCTTCGGAATCGCCAATTCACTGACCATATCATCCACTTTGTTCTCTCGCGCGCCGACATGGAAGCAAATATAAGTTTCTACTACTTATGTAGAGCTTCGCGAAAATAATATCAAATTCTTCGCATGCCAAACACGAAGAAGTGTTTATCTCCATCTTTTTCGCCACAATGAGGGAAATTTTGTTGATTTCAGCGGAAGCCGATGCGGAATACGAAGCCAAGGTTCAGTCCAGGGACTTCACAGCGAGGGCCGATGGAGAGAAGCCATCTGTGGTGATGACAAGCATGGAGAATACGATAGCGAACATCGCAGAATCCGTTTCTGAGCGTCTCGATCAGTAAGTCGATGAGTGATGAAGAGTCATAAAATTGTACTGAAGCCCATAGTCACTGACTTGGCCATTGGTTAACGGTCTTCGGCAAATACTGTTCACCTCCGTTCATTTCACACAATTCCATCGCGGCGATGAACAATTATAATTCTCAACATGAGCCCCTCATCTTCAGCCACAAATAATTGGATTTAACTCTCAATTTTCAAAGCGCAAGTGTTGATCATTGGTATTTAGTGGGAAAAAAAATCACAAGTCAAGAATTTTTTCTCATATTCTCCAAGTGCGTGCAAACGTCTTACGGTTAATTAATTTGCGCCCTCATGCAGCGGCTTCTTGACGCACAATAGATTTCTGGAGATAGATGAAGAATGAAAATGAGAGCTTTCTTCACCGTATCATTTGTGGTTACATTTGCTGAGCAATAAGGTTTAACATCGCATCGTAAAATGGCCAATTTAATTATATCTCTCAAAGCAGCATAAAATCAGTCTATTAAGTGTCCCTATCTTTAGGAAATTATCGTCTTTTCAAATCATTTTCCGAAGAAAAACACAATAATTAGCAACAGTTAAAAAATTAATTTCGCACGAGCAGCCTAAATCCATATTTCCCGGGGAAAAGTCTTATGTACATTGTTGCAAAGTCATTACATTGTTTATTCAAACATTTCTTACATCTCAATTTCCTTCTAAGTGGAGTAATTCGAACGTATTTTTTCTGCCCAAGAGAGTTTTTGGCACAATATTATTCCATTTCAAATTTTTAAACAAATATTTATATTAGAAACCTCAAGAGTCGCGATAATATTAATAATGTGTACGTAAATGATATATTAAGCTTCATATGAAGTAGAAATTTGAAACTTTATAGCGAAAGGCGGGGAAAATTCATAGAGTCAATTTTTCTAAATTAAAAAAAAGTTATAATAATTATACTTAGAAAGGTGTTTAATCTTGTATTTAGTAGAAAGTTGACTATAATAGCAATTGAATTTGAATATTTTGATGCATCCGAACAGGTTTCTCAGGAGGCCCAAGACTGGCGATCTTGAGGTGGACGGGCAGATGCAGAGATTGGGTGAGGAGACTTCTGGTGAAGTGAACGCTTTGGAAGCCACAGTAAATGAGGCTGAAGGTGGCACTGGCGAGGAAATTGAGAGTGCAAGATATGCTGGAGGTATGGGCACTTTGGATGGGCATGCAGCTTAAAAATCTCCCACACTTTCCACACAACAGACACACAAACACAAGAGACACAGAACAAATGAATAGATATGCTTCACAATCTCTGAACTGAATCGTAGGTTCAAGAGGTTAAAGCACGATTTTAAGTTTTTTTGTTGCTCTTCACAGCTACCACAATTCACATCTTCGGATAATGTACACTTTCATCTCCAGATATACTCAAATGCAGGCAAACCGCGGGAGAGATTTTCATAATTTCACACCATCTCTATACTGCACATCTATTGACCAATTTGACTCTCTTTAATACAGAAACTCGCGGAAAGAAGAAGAAAAAGAAGAAAGCCCTGATGAAATTGCTGCTTCTGGGAGCCATTGTTAAGGGAAAAATAGAGTTGTTGCTGAAGTTGTTATCCGCACATTTGCAACTCAAATTCCTCGCGATTGCAGCTATTGGTCTGCTGGTCAATGTGGCACGATTCTGGATTGATCTGAAGAAGGGCCACCATCCACAGAAAGTAAGTGCAAAAGAGTGATGGCGAAGGTGTGAATCGGTCATGTCCGCCTTTCTTCTGCCTCTCCTATAATGCTACAAGACATGAGAAAATCGCCTCAAATTGCTCTAACAACTTATTTGCATTTCTCACAATAATGTAATTGCCGTATTTTTGCTCTTATATTTCTATACAAAAACCTCGATCATTTCTCCGTAACCAACTCACTAACTCATGAAACATGCATGAAACATCGATCCATCAACCATCCATTTTGCCTAACTCCGGGCGCTATGGTAACGAGGGATATTTCACCTAACATTCTCATTCTTATTTCCTGTAAGTTTTTCTCATTCTCTTACAAATCTTACAAATGATTTAACTCTAACCACTGGCAATCAGTGAGCTCATCACGCTGGGCCAACACTCATCGATCAGGCACAACTCTCTAATTGAGTGATTAATTTTCAGGTGATTTACTATGAACATGCTCAACATCAGCATCACTACGACGATCACGGGGATGACTGGAACGGCGGCGGTGGCTATTGGAAGCGCTCCATTCCCGAGGCCTCCGAGTCGGAGATCCACGAGCTGCCTTACAGATACCAGAAACCAACCGCCGCAGTTTACCAACCTCAGGCGCCGCCCTATCTGTACTGAGCCACAGCCGCGATCGCAGATCATCAAGCATTGCATAGCTTAGCCTAGTGCCCTAAGTTTTAATTTATTTGTAAATACTTTCCCCGAGCTCGCTAAATTATTTCTCCTCTCACGCTGTCCTCTCTCCCACCTTTCTCATCCACTTCAATTACATTGTAACTGTTACGAGAGAGACTTTGAATAAAATGTAGTGCTCTCTAAAATGTATCAGCCTCTAGAATCGTAAATCTGCGTTTGGCCACCTCTTCTGCATACCAATTGTGAGATATTGTGGCTAGAATACCGTAAGTGAAATTAGCAATAAGAATTTTTGTCCATATTGCTTCAGAATACTTTGTCATAATTGATCAGAAACATCATCAATATTTCCTTTTGCTTTGTCAAGCTTTGATCATTCCCACTTGGCAGAATTCTTGAGTTGCAATTTAAGCAAAGAGGGATTGAGAGAAGAATATTTTATTTGATCATGGAATCTCTCACACTTTTCCTCTTTGTGAATGAAATGCCGAGGGGAGAAGGAAGGTGAGTTTATTCTTATATTTAATCAGTTAATTAGATCCAAAGATGTTCCAGATCCTATAACTTCCTGAAGATCATTTCACCCTCTTGTCAATGAATTTAAACTTTGTGTTTTTTCAAACCCCCTACATTTTTGTTTTATTACTTTTAAAGGAAATCAATGAAATATTGTGAGAAATATTCTCCCAATTCCGTCACAATGACAAGACATTTCTTGCATATGAATTCCTGCATGGAATGCATTTCATTCAATTCTGATTAATCTGAAAGTGAACTCAATTTGCATTCTTATCATAAATTCTGTGCAGAAAAATATTTTGTTCATTTCTAAAAAATTGGTTCACATCTGTCAAATTAATTATAGCGCCAAAATCCACCAGATTGAATTATAGCTCTTGTCTTGACGGGTATTTTAGTGTGAGTTATTGCTGTCCAAAATTAAATGGAGACACTTGGGATTCATCGGTCGCAATTGGGAATCGTGTGCAGTTTCTATTGAGTCGCTATGTGACTTACTTGCATAGGTATGTCAGACATAAAATTTGTATTCAGATTTGCCGGTCGAGGGAAGAACTCACACGCGTTTTACCGAGAATATAAATTGAAGGTTCCACCTGATCAAGTCACATTCGCGAAGAATCCCCAGCACAAGTGCTATCGAGTGCCAAAGAAGTGCAAATTTCTAGTTTTTCTGCCAGGAGGAAGTTCCAATGGAAGTTCTGCATACAAAGATGCCTCGACTAAGGACTATTGTGGGAGCCATTCTCGGATTTTCCATGCTGTGCGAGTGTTCTCCGCTGATGTCGGTAAGTGTTCAAGTGGACGGAAGTATCACAGCACATAAATCGTTCGACTTTTGTGGACAAATTAATTATTGTGGACGCGTCGCGAGTTTTTGGACTTGAAGAGTCAGTTGAACTCAATGCTCAAGTTTGAATTTTTAAAGATCTGGGAAATTCGCGTGATCTTTGCAGAACAGACGCCCACCGATGCCACGGGAATCAGGAGTCATGACCTTCATGCTGCCCAGCAATGCCACATCTATCAGGGCAGACATTTCCGAGGGATTCTCCTGTGAGAACAGAGCCTACGGATATTACGCCGACGTGGCGAATGAGTGCCAGATCTTCCACGTCTGTTTGCCGGTGATGTTTGGCAATCAGCGCAAATCACGCACGTATCAGTGGAGCTTCATCTGCCCAGAAGAGACTGTCTTCAGTCAGGACTCCTTCACGTGCATGCGAGCAGAAGACATGGCCATCAGGTGCGACGAGAGCGAGAAGTTCTATGATCTCAACAGCAATTTCGGCGGAATGATGACGGATAATGATGAGATGGGTCAGTTCAGGGAAGTCACGTCCACCGAGAGAGCAGAAACCACGACAATTCTCACCACGATAGCCTTTGAGGAGGGTCCCATGACGACTGAGGAGGAGCTCTTCACGGAGACTGACATGAGATCAGATCTGAAGACTGAACAGATCCAAGAAGTGGCCACAGAGGCGACTTTCGAAGCGGAACCACCTGAAAAGGTGATGCAGGAGAGCGAGAGTGTGATCAAGACCATCGAGGGCATTGTGAAGAAGGCAGCCAGAGACATTGAGAGGGTAAACGCCACATCACCTCTGACCCGCACCAAGAGGAAAGGTCAGCGGCGGAGATTTCTGTTCGCGGCAGACGCCTGATTGGCGTGTTTGCACAGCTAAGGCCCTATGAAATACCATCTTCTCATGCGACACCATTGCTCACCTTTCACGCACTTTTCCATCTTACATCATAACGCCTTTATTATACTCAATTAAATTCAAAATAGCATAGTATTACTCACATTTGCCTCTACAGTGCCACCAAAATTAATATTTAGAGACTAGTTCTTTGCACGCAAGATAATCACAATTATGGATGAAGATGCTGCTGTCTATGTAACATCATACAAATAAACTTATTTATACGCATTATACATCTAAATACACACGTCTCTGGAATGATTCTGTATGGTTTCACTCGATTCACATCGAAAGTGATTCTTGGAATTTGGTCATTTGCTATTTATGCATCCGTTTCCTGATCCTGCAGCTCCGAGGCCATTTCCTCCGCCGACCGCAAATCTATGGCGAATTTCTTGCGCACTGTCGTCTTCCCAGCGTCCGCGTCTTGTCCCTCAGACTCCTGCAGTCGCCTCGAGTAGTCCTGCAAAATCAATAAACTTCAGTTTCTCACATCACACTATTCGCCAATCTATCATTCCTTATCAATTCGAGTGCCTTTCGGGTGGATGAAAGCTCTCAAAGAGATAAGAGGTTTTTATAGTTTTCTCACGTGACTCTCGTCTCTTATAATTTTCCTGATTATCTCGAATCTTTCGTAATACTCTTCTGAGAATTTACTTCAAGTCAAAATGGTCAAAATATATTCAAAATTAATGACTATGAGTGCCCATTTAGCTCCAGAAACTCACGGCATTGTGAATCACGCAGATCTTTGCGCAATTCCGCGTATAATTTTCTGTATTTTCGGGAGATTTCATCTCCGCAAACACACCTGAAAGGCGGCCGCCAGGGCGAACGTAAGTTTCCTCGCCATTGCTCGACTGTCGCAGACGAAAGCCTCCACCTCGAAGGGACTCCTCACGGACTCCTCGTTGACCAGAATGATGGAGAAGACGCGGGAGTAGACGATGTCCTGCACGCCATACGATATTGTGTCGACATTGTGCACCCACTTTCTGTACTCTGTGATCTTGTTGGGAATCGTCTCGAGGATGATGGCATCCAGGGTGACTGTGAGGTTGCAAATCGGCAGGATTTTGCCCGGGGCCATCTCTTTGGCCGCCGCCACCATCTTATCCACCGGCTTCCGGGTGTGCTTGATGCCCCACAATCCATTTCCCTTCTGCTTGCCGAGGTACTTCACCTGCGAAGAAAATACACACATCACAATCAATTGGATGCGAAATGCACAAGAGTGTAATTTTCATTCTGCACACGATGCCGCGAGTGACTCCGTCTTTGCGTTCCCATTGAAAACGTTCGCCTCTGGGTGCAATATCTGCACCAACTGTAGACATTCATAGCGAGACAATTGATAATTTCCGGTTGTTTAACTCGTGGCAAAAGTGCGCACCACATGAAATGCCCCAATGATCACAGTTGGCATGGGACTGTGGAAAAAGTGGGAGGAAGAGACACTATGAAATTCTCTCAGCAACTTCTTCAAGCCACCCTCACTTTATTATTTTATTTTTCTTCATGCAAATTTGCTGCATGTCGAGCTAAATAAATCTTGAAAAGTGAATGCAAAAACGAAAAGCGAATCTATTCCATTCCAAATGGAAGTGCACGAAGAATGGTGTTTCATTTTATGCCTTTTTGGAGGTTTTTGTTTGCTTTTCCTCTTCAGCCACGGGTGGGTGTCAATTGAGCCACTCATTTCCTTACTCTCCGTCCCAACATGGTAAATAGATATGCATATGTACACTTTGCATACTGTACAAATAGAGACGCGGATCAAAGTGGTCAATTATCGATTTTTTACCTACTGTTTAGCAGCATATTAATGGCGCACTTATTAATTGATTTCACCTCTGCCACCATATTTCAGTTTATGGACAGTAAAAGAGAAATTTCGTGTCCAATTTGTGGAGACAGTGATGTACAATATTTTTATTTTTACGAAGACCAGAAGAGTAATGATCCTCTTCCGCTTTACTTCCCCCATCGAGTGTTACATTTTGGAGGGCAAACACAAGTGAACTTGTGTGTAGTTTTCCATTTCATTCACATTTTTTTTGTCCCTATTCTACAGTTCTGTTGACGTTCTTCATTGTCTCATTTCCACTGAGCATGGGCACTTTTTGTTTGACTCTTTTTCTGGATGACACTTCCTGCCCATTCTCAGTCGCGTTCCCCATCAGTTTTACCGTATTTACGTCGTTCTCTCGCAACAATGCAAATAATTATCAATGCTCCAATGATATTTCAACCATTCCACAGGCACTTGTCGAGGGAGACTCGCGGGAATCCCCGCCAAAGCTGCCACAAAACAGGGTTGTCGGATCTGAATCTCTACACAATCCGCGGCACATTGAACGTGCGCAAGGAATGTACGAATGTAGAAAGTGTAAAATATCCGAAAACAGCATGCAACTGCACGTTCTTCCCAAGTGATTAATGTATTTCTCAAATTCCATTGATTAGGCCATGATGTAATAAACATTCCGCCGCATTTATTCGATAGTGTATTCGGCATTTTTCTTCCAATCAACATTTCGCCTGTTTTCGCCCATCAAGCATCGGACAATTGAATTCAGTTCCCCAGCATTTGAACGTGTAATTTACCATAATTTTCATACAGAACAAATTACTTAAATTAACTTTCTGTGTGTAATTGAAAAGTGAGTGCGAAGGCGCGTTTAAAGCGTTATTTCGTTAATTTCTTGTAACTGAAATTGATGTCAAGGCAAAGTCAACGGCTTCTTCCTGTCCGTTATGCTCCCGTATTATTTTTATTGCTACTCTGCGTTATCTCATAGAGTTTTCCTTATACGAAAAACAAATGCTAAAAGCTGTGATAGATCAAAATTAAAGAATTTCACATTTATCACTCGGAATTGAACTCATAAAACCCTCAAATTGACTCCATTGAATGCCTCAACAATCAAACAGTTTATTTTCATAATGAAAATCTCCACATTACAATAAAATAGATTGGCGGCGTCGTCGAGGAAATTAATAACGCTACGTTACGTTGTTCGCGTAAAATGTGAAATTAAAACATAATAAGACATGTAATAAAACAGCCATAAATTTCTCAAAATTAATGCGGCAGACCTTTCATTCATAAACTGTGAGGAACTTCGATAATAATTTATTGTCTTTATTGTCGATTTGATGGCTTTCTTCGCGTTGAGGAAGTTCGAAAATTGCATCGTCAACAATAATTGTGGGTCGACAGAAATTGTCGCGAGCTGAAGAGGATATTTTCCACCATTTCATATGCATGAAACACAAGTGAGAAAGATCTTAGCCACTTGAAGGTTTTCTTCACATTTTTCCACCTAATCTCTCAGCTATAATCATTTTGCTTCTCCACCAGCTTGCATACTTTGTACTAGTAATTCCTTTAATTTATGGTAATTTAATTACATTTAAGGGCATTAACTGTTATCTCGTGTACTTCATTCGTCGCCCGAGGTTATTCCCACCTCGGCTCATGCTAATGTGTGGAAAAATTCATTTGAATTACGCAGGAAAAGATCCAGCAATTACAGAAAAAGAATCAACACACGATGATCGAATCTGTGAAAAATTCTTATATTGCTGCGCGTCTTTTCTTTTGTTGCCAAATCCATCGATTATGAGCATAAAGAGATTCAGTTTGAATTGGTTGGTGGGTGAAAAATGCAAAGAATATATAGTGGAGTTTTTTGTGTGATCTGCACAGCAACAAAGAGTTGGAAAGAAATGTTGTAATTTACATTCACAGCACATTTTGCATGGAAAATTGCTACTCTTCTCTAAATTGTTATGAAATATTTTTGTCACTTGCTTGATGGCGATGAAATGTGTTTTATCAACCAAATGAGTTGACTGGGAGACGAGCAACAATCTCACAATGTACATGTACTGGAAAAATAGCACAAAACTACAACCATCCAGAAGTAATCAACACATTGCATTGATCATTACATTAGATTATATTAATGTGGGAAAATGTGCGCAAGATATTGCACATTGCTTCACAGTCAGTGTTTTATAGTAAACAAACAGTTTGACAAGGGCGTCACAAGCCAAATACTGCAGACACTGCATAATTGTACACTACAAATTAAACTGACACTCCCTTGATCATCGCTGGCAACATGTGCTCACCTTAAAGACCATGGGAAGGTCCGAGACCTTCACTTCCATCTCATCTTTCGACTCCTTGGACTCCCTCGGCGTGGAAGTCTTGGACGAATTGCTCATCTTGGCGTCCGCTGACCACTCAAATTTCCTTCACTCTGCCTCAAAGCCACTTCGACACGCCACATAGAGTGATCTGCCCGCCACTCTGGTCACAGTGCTGCTGAGGCGATCATCCGCTTGGGTGTGAACTGTTGAGAATAAATTGTGTGTTTCATCAGTTTCACGATACAATGGCGTTTCGATGATGGAAAGCCAGGGAAACAAAGAAAGTGATTGAGTGCCGGGCCTACGGAGAGCGAGAAAGAAATTAAGCGATTTTAGGCGTGTGGGTGTGAGAAGTCTCGACGTTTTGATTTGAGCATATTTCACAATGTTTTAATTGGAAAAGTGTGACGCTTGACATTGATGTCTAACACGCGATCACATGGAATTAAGGAAAGAGTGCAATAAAATCAATTCGCTGTAACCCGTTCTGTTTGAGAAGGTCTTTCTTATGTTCTCGGCAACCCTTTTCCTTTGGAGAGCGCGTGGCTTCTCATTCACCTCTCGCGCAGAGTGAAAGAGTCGTAAATTCTCATTGGAAATTTAAATGTGCTCGTAGGGAATTCTTTCAATTTTTCTTCACTTTCTACCGTGCATACAGAATAAAGGAAAATATAGTGAGTTCATCTGCAGCAGCTAGAAGAATTCCACAGAATTCCCCCGTGAGAATGAAATAATATCAATAAATAACCCAGATTCCTCTGGCTTTCGAGAGAAATCGTTGCCCATCAGAGAAAATAGGAGGGTTAAATTGAACAGCACTGGGACTGTTAACAAATGGAGTGATAGACGATGTGATACGCTATAAAGCACTTCTATAGGGTCTGTTATCGCAAGTGTGATAAGAGAAATAATTGAAAAACCTTGAAGATTCCAGCGCGATAGAGAGGTCTCGCTGCTCCACTTCTTCACGCAGAGATAAAGCGAGTCTCTACAATCGATTGAAAATTTCCCCCATGAAATGCTGAGCACAGCGCGAACGCCCTTTGCCTGTTCCACTGATGAATTTTCCGCCATGCAGGTGACCAATATTTACCAGTGAAAGCCACCAATCATTATCTAATCGCAAAAAGTCACCTATTGAGCGATATTTTTTCCTTTCTCCCCAATATTCATTTTGCACACACCTAATTTTTCACCGTTGCTGCTTTATTTGTTCGCTTGGGACTGTTGTTTTTCGGTTCGAGGAAGTGTGATCAGCGAGTTGAAGCAGAAAACGAAAGTGTTTTGCTGCCTAAATCAATTTTTGATTGAAGCCAAATCACGCCTTGTTCTTAGTCTTGATGACACGCCAAAGTAAACACGAGATAATCCACACTGATTAAACTGTTTTCCACTGCTTGTAATCCACAATGCAATCCTCTCGAGAGTCTACTACACTTGTCCACTGAATTTTTGCTCTTTTCCAAAAAGTGATGCACTTTTTCCCGCGCCTTTTCACCTGTAACGGTCACGTCACTTCTTCAGCACTCCCGCAAAATAAATGCAAATGCGATGACTCTGCCGTGTGAGTCAGAAGGAATAAACACGGAGCGAGAATTTGAAAACCACCTGCGCTCGATAGAAGCACATGCTAGTCACTGAGAAGCCCCGAAGAGACGGTTTAGGTGGAAACCGCCGACGAGCGCGCAGTGGCGGTGGAACTCGAGTGGCGATAGAATCTCATTGATAAAATCACAACTATTTGCTCATCGCCACAAAATGTTGGAGTTTATTTAATTAATTGCCTCTAATACTATCGCTTTTGTGTACAGTGATTCATCTCCCCTTTCGGCTTATGTAACGACTTATGGAGTGTTTTCTTTATTTTGTATTGTCGTTCCCCAGAAATTACATTTGGTATTTGTGAGTTACGACTCGCGCCGCGAGAAACAACCCGGCAGCTTTCAATGCTGGCCGACAGATCGCAAGCAGCCAAGACAAGGTGTTCAGCGCAGCCACAAATCATTTCATAGTTTTAGTTTCTTCATCAGATTTAGTACATTTGCTCGTGGATGTTCATTAATCATTTCGATTCGATTTATGGCTTTATGTGTATTTTCATAATCATACGCATGTTCAAATGCTGAATATGTATTTTCAATATATTGAACAGCATCAATTCGGTGAAATGAATTTTTGAATTTAAGACGCTTCAGACAAATTGATCTCAGTTCTGCAAGCAGATAGACACAATAATTGCATCTATCGTGACATCCGGGAGATTAATGGGTTTTCCTGGCATGCACACAGAAGAGCTAAGACATTAGGCTCCATCAGACATTATGTCGAGTAGGAATTCTCCTGTATGTATTTTCTTTGAACTGTACGATATGATGAAAACAGAAAAAATCCCCCCAGCAAAAACAAACTAGAATTCCATAGCTTTTTCTGAAGCACTGAAGCCATTAGTCTTTTCAATACTTGTAGAAAAATTACCAGGAAACATTGAACAATAATTCATAATTGAAATCCACACTTTTGCATTTGAGTTGACGTGAAATTTTGAGATAGATATGATTTGATATGCTGTACAAATTCACTGATAGCATCTCGATTAATCCACGTGGGAATTTTTCACGTGAATTCTTTAGGGTCTATTAGCATGGAAATCCAATTAAACCACAAACCTGATTATGTTTACGAGTTCAGTAGCTCTTTGATTGTTTTTTCGGCACCGAGCAGTTTGAGGATTCTCTATAAATTCGCCACGCGCAATAAGAAGATAAATTGAGACACTTGCTTAGCTGATTGAATTAAAATATTTCAATTTTTCCCCTATCTTTCGATCTCGTTTGACTGGTTTTTCTTTCCTTTTCGTGCCTAGAACAGCACGAATTGGGCACCTTCGTGTTCTATCTTTTCGCCAATCTGATGTGCTCCATTGGCTATTTGAGAGGCACGAAGCCCGCGAAGACGAATCAATCTGGAAAAAGAGATGGAAAAAAGGCCCGAAAATAATAAGTTTAAATATCGTGAAGTCATTCCCGATTGTAAGAAGTAGACAGATCGCACACACACTCAACATCCTGGCGTGAACCCATATGCTAATCCACGCGATTAGATGCGCGCCACCACCATCCATGTGTTAGAGGGTGAACCTTGAGATTTCGGATATAAAAGAGGCTGGACGCTTAGAATTTGGCATCAGTCTATTTGTCTGTGGTGATTAGCGTCGTCTGGGATCAGTGAGAATATCAGTTCTTGGTGCCTTGCATATAGTGCCGAATATCATGCAGAAATCCCTGGTAAGTTTCTGTGCTTTACCAGTGGAAGAGTATATCTAAAGTGATATTTTACTGTGCCCGAAGGACCATTAATTTTGCTCCCTGATGGGATGATAATGGTTTATTGTGGCTTCTTAGGCCGCAAAAAGGTCTATTTTCGCGGGTTCCTCTCAAGTTCTCTCCATAAAAGAAGTGCAGACCGGTTCTCTTCAATTTAGCCAAAAATGATGGATTATATGATGGTGATTTGTGAAGAGATGAAGACCAAGATGAGTCTTCAATTAGTTCCCGTTCGGCAAGGGGTGAATCATTTTGCAAAAGAAGTGCCAAAATAGAAAGTAAATAATGTGACCAAGCAAAGTTGTGATCTGTATTTAAGGAATAAAAAACACCTTGACTAAATAGCATAGCAAATGGATTCAGTGTTGTATCTAAATTTTATTTACATTGTTTTTGTAAAATAACCAGTTAGAATCGGTTTAACATCCCCTTGTTTGCTGTTTTTAACACTCATCACGTTTAATGCGTTTAATGACCCTTCCTTCTTCCCTCAGATCCTGGTGGCGATCCTCGTGATCGTTGCCAGTTGCCTGGCATTTCCTGGCGGATACGGTGGGGGAGGAGGAGACTTCGGAGGAGGGGGACAACACCATGGAGGAGGAGCAGGACTGCAACACGGAGGAGGAGGAGGCCTGACAAGCTTCACGGGAGGATTCGCCAACTCTCACAGCAGTGCGACCGCAAGTGCTCACAGTAGCGCGGGCACGTTTAGCGGAGGCTTCAGCGATGGAGGATATGGTGGACATGGAGGCGCCGGTGGAACTCATCACGGCGGCGGTGGTGGCGGCGGAACTCATCACGGTGGTGGCGGCGGAACTCATCACGGTGGTGGCGGCGGAACTCATCATGGCGGCGGCGGTGGAACTCATCATGGCGGCGGTGGCGGAACTCATCATGGTGGCGGAGGAAGTCATCATGGCGGCGGCGGAAGCCATCATGGAGGTGGTAAATTCATTAATTAAGATGTCTGAATTTGAGCCAAGTCGCTGATCTACCTTTGAATAGACCTTGTGTGAAACTGAGTGATTAAGGACGTGAGAATGTAACCTTTGAACCCACATGGAATTGACGCCAAGCATTCCATTTGAATTTGAACGATATCTTTGCATTATTTCCATCATCCTAGCCAAGACAGAAGTTGAAAAAAATGCATCTAACTACTTGTCTTGGCCAGGTCTTCAACGCCTTTTCTATATACGTATTCAAAGGTTATAAGTAGAATGAGTCTGTCTTCATACTTAATATCTAACCAGACCCCTTAGCCTTTTTGAAACCCTATAATAAACAATATTATTGTTACAGGTGGAGGCGGAGGAGGCGGTGGAGGAGGCGGTGGTGGTTTTGGATCACACGGAAGCCATCACGGAGGACATGGAAGCCATCATGGAGGACATAGCGGACATCTTCATTTTGGTGATAGCAGCGAGGAAAGTCATGGAGGGGGCTTTCATGGCGGTTTCGGTGAGTTTGAAGAGGACTTATCTATAGAAATTGAATGTTAATGAAATTCTTTCGAATAATCATAAATATTACAGTGCTAAACAAAGTCTGTTTATATGAAAATTTAAACATTTAATGGTAGAAAAACCAGTTTTTCCATTTTGATTACAATGTGTAATTCTCCAGTCCATGAAGAATCAATTTAGAAGAGATGAAGCTCAATTACAATTTTCTTCGGTACATTGCATATGACAAGAACTGTTAAGAACGTCTATTTTTTACAGATGGCGGCCACGGCGGCGGTTACGGAGGAGGAGGAGGCGGAGGAGGAGGGGGTGGCGGCTATGGAGGCGGATTTGGTGCGCATAAAGGAGGTTATGGCAAATAGAAGGAAATTGCTTTCTTCCTTCACTTAAATTCGTAGAATTTGGACTGATACGCTAAATGTCCAAACATGCAGAACCCCTCAAGGATCCCACAAAAAGAAATCATGCCGATCTAGTGTGTCACCGAAAATTGAATTGTCGGAGAGCTCTAATCAGCAATGTTTCCAACTACTTAATGTGTATGAGAAAATGACTAAATAAAATAGACGAAAAATATGAAAATCTCAGCTTAATCACGCAATTGGACATCGGCGGCAGATGAAGCACGCAGATGCTAATTGGAGGTAGACAAACTCCACGGGGATTTTTTGAGTACCCCTTCTCGCAGTCTCCTCATCGACCTCCATCACGACCAGCGCCCAGCATAGATACGCAGAGGATTCTAGACGATAATTAAGAATGGCGAGAAATAAACTAGTTTGTCGGGGTTTTTTCATCACTTTTTATTGTTTCGTTTTTTTCACCTGAATGTACAAAGTAAAGTGTGAGAGCAAGGGTGTTTGATGGGTTAGTTGATCTCCTGCAGATTCTCTCTACCAATAATACCCGCCGTAGTAGCGAGGGTAGCCCCAGCCGTATCGTCTGTAGCCCCAGCCGCGTCCGCCCCATCCGCCACCCCAACCACCTCCGTATCCACCCCATCCGCCACCCCAGCCGCCTCCCCAGCCGCGTCTCCAGCCGCCACCATATCCCCAGCCCCAGCTCTCGGCGGGCTTCAGGCCCTCCTCGGTCTCCTGGTCTCCTTCTGGGGCCACAGCGGCGTCAACGGACTCGGGAACATCTCGTGGGTGCTGCAAAGACAGAGCGACGGACAGCCATCGATCAATGATCACGCCGATTCCACTACTTCCAGGCGATTAATTAAATTAAACTCACAACTTCAACGGTCGCTGCAGGCTCTTCGGCTGGATATGCCTGAACAGTCACTGCGATGACTGCAAGGATAGCGATGAACTGGCGAACAAAGATGAAAAAAGGGTACAAATTGAGGAAGAACTCAGAAGTGTAGCAAATTAAATTAGAACGAAATCTAGCGCTTGTTTGGCAAATTGGACAAATTTTTAATTAGCAAATCAATATAATGAAAACCACGATCTCAATACCTTGATCATGATCTTCTGGCGTAAGCGTATAATTAGCACAACACGACAACTCGTCACTAAACACTGATCCTAAATCACTGGACTTTTCAAATTGAATCTTGGCCGCTGGAAGTGTCTTCTAGAACTGCGATCTTCATGCGCGACGTTCGCGCTTTTTATACCATCGGAACGCATCGCAAGTCAACAACAAATCACTGTCGAAAAAAAGCAAGAGGAGAGTGTGTATTGCATGGAATATCTGGCTTGATCATGCGATGGAGGCTCGCTTCTAGAGATGACTTGCCGAGAAGCTCAAAGTATTTGTCAGAACCCAGACGCTAAGTGAATTAATTGACACCAACAGTGAAAGAGGTGGGAATCCATGGGGAAATTTTGATGGAGCTTGAGAGATTAATAGTTGTGCTTCGTGCTATTCTGAATATGGGAATTTCGCACACGAACTCTGACACGTGGTAAGGTTTGATGACTCCGCACGCCTTGGTGAAAAAAAATCCCATTCATATTCTTTTATCATTTGTTTTATCTGTCTTGATTTTGCGCCGAACGCGCGAAATTAATCAACAAATATAATGTAAATATAAAATGTATAATAAAAATCTATTTTTCAGATTACTTTAAAAAATGATAATTTTATTAAATTTGTATATCGTTCATAATTTTTCTTAGCGGGATATAAAAATCTGAATCCATCCTCCGAAACCCAGAAGAACCATGAAAGAACAACTAATCTCTTTCGAGGATGAAACGCATATAAAACTCGAAATTTTGATATCTAACCTTGGCGCGTGCAGTTCTTTTTTAGAAAATTACAAAAGCTTTACGATGACATCTTCCTTGTCATAAAAGTTGAAATGTATGGAATGTGTAAATCAATTCGCCAGGAATTTGATTTGATTTGTTATTTAGCCAAAAGAATATCAGCGAATGTGAGTCAGACTTGAAAAGTGAGCGTTTATCGATGAGCATTTAATTGTCTGGGCCTAAAAGCCACTTGTTTATTGGGGTGTTTTTCCAAATGATGTTTATAGTTATTATCCAGCAAAGTCACTAATTTGCCTTGATGAATTACACCACGTGAGAATCGCACGGTGAGAAAAAAAAGTGCCTCATATTAAACAGGCAATAATGTCGGTTGTAAATCGACAATAAATTCATATTTTCTTATTTATTAACGCTCTGAAGATGTCAATATCATCCCAAATTGCTGACTGAGAGGGAATCAAATATATTGCATAATGCAGCTCAAGGCGAGCTTTTCGAAGAATCTCAATGTTGACAATTAGTCACTAATTATAGCGAAATAGTGCAATATGAAATGTTACAATGATGACTGATAAAATGTATTTTATTGTATGAGACTTAAGACAGCAACCAAATTTGCATTCACGTAAGCATCATTGTCGATGATCGAAGAAGTGTTCTTGAGTTCCTGCCACTGACATTTTCAGTGTGTAGTTTGAATTACCTTTTTGTGCAAACATCGCAAGAATTCTTTTCAAATTTATCACACAATTTCATAGAATGAAAATACCTCCAGAAATGGGAAACGAAAGCGGCATTTTTACACTATTCCACCCACGCGACCAATATTTTGACGATGAAATTCTTATTTTAAACTCTGTTTTGATACTTTATCATAAATTATGTGTAAAATTTGCATGAGGAACTTGATCAATAAGCTGTTATTTATCCAATAAATCGATTGTGGAGAATTGTTTATGAAATTGTGTGGAATATTTGGTGAAAAATGATCTAATTTTCAGCGCACAGTCATGGTCAGTCAATTTACACTACCGAATAGTGATTCCCCGGAATGTGATCAGCAGTCTTCTGGTCGCAGATCTTCCTCGACGTGTTAGGAAAGATTATTTTGACGCAGTTGAAGGCGGTGCTAATTAGGCGATTTCACAAAATACATAGTATAAATAGTATAATATTCACGCTGAGTTTATGAAAAACAGATATTCATCAAGATCATTTGTCCCACCCAATATGAGTCAATAACACACTCTATTCGCCAAAGTATCAAGATGTACTTGAGATTAGTGGAATAATGATCTTGTTCTGAACAGATATTAACATCTATTTCTTGATTAATCAAATTGAAGATATCATACTGAGGCACTTTCTGATTGAGCGTTAAAGCGAATAAAATTCTAAGCACGAGTTTATGAGTTATGCTAATCACGGTAATGTTGCATTATGATATCGCTCTAATATGTATGACAATTGCATCAGGAAACTTCTCAAGTCTGGTGTGTTTGCTTTTCGTCACTCTTTTTGCTCGATTCAATAGACACATAGATAAAGTCAAGATTGTGACCTGAAATCCTGCCTGTGCTTTTTAGATGTATAATTGCAGAAAATGTATGCGTGAGACATAAAAAGAATTTTATTCTCTACCCGCAGAACGAGTTTAATTGAAGTGAGGGAATTCAACTGAACACTCAACAGCCATTCATTCTTTTTGGACCTTTTCAGCGCGTCACAACAAGAAACAAATAAAGGTATTTTGTTGAGATGGAACTGGCTTTGTAGATTATCACTTCAATTACCTTCCTGACTTCTATATGGCCTTTTTCTCACCACACGCCCAGACTTCACAGTCATATTGGACGCGAAGAAAGGCAGATGAGTAGCAATAATTCATGAAAACTTATCACTCTAGCGCTCTGACACACTTCATAAGCGAGATAAAAATGCGTCTCCTTTTGATTTCACTCGTTGCTACCTTTTACTTTTCGCCATAAAGTCCACTCGAATGATGACAATGGCCATGAAGTGGAGACGCAAACGAGACTTTGTCGCCTCACCCACCCGAAATGTGCTTCTAAGACATTTCATTGAAGTGCAAATTGATCCACAATTGTCAATTGAGTCATTACACCTGCCATGCGAAAACAAGTCACACTGAGATTGTTTTCAGTGAAGATTCTGCGTTCATTTAGCATAAAAATTCACAGCATCACTAAGATAACCTTCTGGAATTTCCAGTGATGAAAACAAACTTTTATAAAATACTATTTAATTGTTCTGAAATTTCTTTATTGTGCAACATTGTTTTAGCATTTCAGAAAAAAATCAATAAGTCATTTGATCTCTCTTGTTGATTAATTTGTTGTGTACCTTTGCTAAGAAATGAACGGCGAATTTAAATAACAGATTATGCAAAAAACGCTGATGAAAATGGGAAGAACGGTAGCAATTTAAAAATCATCAATCTTTGGATGAGAGAAAAGTCGTTATTCGTTAATCTCAAAAGCAACGGCCAACGATTTGGCGTCAGCGGGGCGGAGTTGATTGGCCTTTCGCGAGGTGGCGGTGGTGATGCTGAGGCGAATGCCAGTGACACAGAGAGTTGCCATCTGACAAGACGATACAAACTCCATGGCTGCACAGCCCATATTTGGTCCGATTTAATAAATTAAGTTTTCTTAAGGATTAAAGTAAAATATTGCATGTATTCTGGGCTTAGATGTCCATTTAAAGTGTCCAACGTGAGGTGCCTTTCTCCGTGATAACTGTGTCTTGTGGTGCATTCGCGAGGAGCGATTAAGTCTTTGGAGTGAAATTGAGAGTGGTGTGAGAGAGGAAAAGGTAAATGACGTGTTGAGATTATTTTACCGAAATATTTTGTGCATTTCTCTGTGAAGAAGACCACTTTTCTGGGGTGTCTTGCGTGCATAGGTGAAACGAGGGCCCCAATTGGGGGTTTGTGTGGCCGATTGGGGGAAGAGGCGAAGATTGAGGTGGAGAAAAAGTTGCGCGAAAATAGGTTATGTTTTGGTTGTTTAATATTCACCTTAAAATAAAATCTCAGTGGGCGGCGAAATGTAGAATATTTCGTAATATTCTGGGCCTTTTCGCCTGCAATTCAGCGCAACCAATTATCTCTCATGCTTACATGCAAAATCGAGCATTCATTCGGGCCTCTAAGTGCTCTTCCCTGCGGGAAATCCGCCCCAAATCGCGCGCCCCGCGCGCTCTCGCCCAAGATGGCTCGACGACGCCGGAAAAGTCTAGGCGATTAAGGTGTGACACAAGAAGAATGGACAGCGTCAGTGATAATGCGCGCAGTGAGGAACTTTGGGCGCGATAATCTTCACACATTCTTATCTCTGGTGGCTCTCGAAACGCCCACACACACAGAATTTCCGCCGCGATCGCTTCGAGGCGACTCCACTTTCACCGCCACCGACGCTCCAGCCTAAGACACTAATGTCTCCACTCTCGCCACAGATCCAGATCGCCGCTGCCCGAGAAGTCCGACGCGAGACGCCCCAGCATGTCCTTCAGAGTGGTGCGGAGTTCCAAGTTCCGGCACGTGTACGGCACTGCCCTGAAGCGCGAGCAGTGCTACGACAACATCCGCGTGTCCAAGAGCAGCTGGGACTCCACTTTCTGTGCGGTCAACACAAAATTCCTCGCCATCATTGTCGAATCGGCCGGCGGTGGAGCATTTATTGTCCTGCCCCACAACAAAGTGAGTCTCCTGATAAGATTTTGCCAACAATCGCGCTTGCACTCAGCGTTGCGCATTCGCGATAACTCAAGTTTGCGATCTTGAAAGTCGCTCAAGGGAAGGAAACGAAGGAAGAGGGGAAAATGCAGAAATTTCAGGGACAAAATAAATTATCTCCAGAGTTTTAATGCGAATTTTTGAAAAATTCATACACAATTTAAACATGGCTAAAAGTATGGTCTTTTTATAGACAATTTGCACAAATGTTTGATTACAATTATTATTACAGCTCAAATCGCGCTAAAGTACGTAGTTGTGTTAACACTGAAACGAATCTTGAGCATTTCTTGTGCAAATTTCACTGTCAGAGCTTAGTATGCTTTGAAATACTAGCGTTCTTTCTTCAGACGTCTGAGTATTACAAGAACCTTAAAGTAGCTCCATAACAAATGTCTTTGGGGTAAAGATACCTACGGCAAAAGACTACAATGGACAGACTTTAGAGGCATTGTTAATTCCATGCAATACAAAGTGTGTAATGGGGTAAACGTAAACCCTCTTCATGTCAATTGAAGAGATTTTCATCCAGACATCGTTTCTTTCAATTTAACAACAATTCCCCAACTGTTCCGATTAAGCTTTAACACTCTTGAAGATCTGTCGGAGTCTCTTCTTCGCGCTTTATCACGCAATGAGTGCGCAAATGAAAATATAAGTGTGATTAATGGTTGTTAGAGTTCACTGAGATTTTTCACAGATTATTCATTTGCCATCCAATGATTGTGTGTTGAGCAAACGCACAAGAGAATCCCTCGGCGGATCTGGTATCGCAGGGTGCGCGAGATGCATGAAATTGTGTGTGAATTGCGTGATGGTGCGCGAGGGGAGCCGCTTTCGCTTGATTCTCACATTTGTCGGCGCTCTTGGCACGCGTCCAGCGGGGGATTAAATTAGAATTTTGGAAGCTATAAATAGGACACTTGTCTCACGCGGCCAGAGCGCGCGCGAAGGGTCGGGGCGGGGATCGTGTCCGAATCAGTGACGATTTCCTGGTGCAGTCTGCAATCATGGCTCTATGCTCTTCCGCAGGTGGGACGCATCAATGCAGATCATCCTCTGGTTGGCGGTCACAAAGGCCCAGTGCTGGACATTGCCTGGTGTCCGCACAATGACAACGTCATCGCCTCCGGATCCGAAGACTGCGTCGTGAAGGTGAGAGAAAGACTTTCGTCCAAAGCACCCGCCGCGATCACGCTAATCGCTGCGTGTGAGTCACAGACGGAGTGCCTCAATAAAATTTCCACTGCGCCTCGCGCACGGTGTGAAGAAAGAAATACGGTGCACGAGAAGCGCGGCGTGCGACAGTTTTAGGTCATGGCTGGGAAAATGCTCATTCGTCATCATTTCCCGCCCTGACAATTTTTGGGTCAAACACTTTGTGGAGCGCGTTGCGTGGGAATAATTGCGCGTCTTCTTGCAGATCTGGCAAATCCCAGACGGCGGCCTCTCGAGGACCCTCACGGAGCCCGTGGTGGATCTGCTGTACCACCAGCGGCGCGTCGGTCTGGTACTGTGGCATCCGTCGGCCCTCAATGTGCTGCTGTCCGCCGGCTCGGACAACCAGGTGGTGATCTGGAATGTGGGCACGGGCGAGGTGCTGGTGCACATCAGCTGCCACCCGGACATTGTGTACAGCGCGTGCTGGAACTGGGATGGCTCGAAGCTGGTGACGACGTGCAAGGACAAGAAGATACGCATTATCAACCCGCGGACGGGCGAGGTGGAGAGCGAAGCGCCGTGCCACGACGGCTCCAAAGCCACCCGAGCCATCTTCCTGCGGCATGGACTCATCTTCACGACAGGGTGAGTCATTCTGGAAAATTTTCCTCTTGCCATGTCTCGCGAACGGCCGCGTGAAATGGGCCGTGGAGTGGAAAAATAAATTTGTCGTGAATTTTGCAATTTGCGCTCTCGCCAGTTGCTCGAGCGTGTGAGAAAATGTGGCAAAAATAGCCCATCCTCATCATCGGATTCCTCAATCATCAGAAATGAACATGGGTAACATCGTGCAATTTTCTCTCTCTTTTCTGGCTTAAGGAAAAATTCTGCTGTCTTCAATCACTCTTTTTTTCTTTCTTTCTTTCTCAAATTGTGGCGACTTTATAAAGGGGGGAAAACCTTCAGACTACTTTTCTGACCACAAAAGGGCATTTGATTTTGGGAAGAGAACAGAGCACATAAGGAATTTCCATTCGATAAGATTTCTGGCATTTTGATAAGATTACAGACGCACATCGACAGGGGAGAAAGAATGCCGAAAAACTCTAGTTAAATTGCTCTTGGTCTTGACACGAATTAGATTATGACGATGTCTGTTTTCACGACAAAGAAGCATCGCGCGCACAGGCTGAATGAGTGGTCGTTTTGGCGGGAAAGTCTACTTCCCGTGCAGAAAAAGTGCAAGCGTATATATATTAGTGCGGAAAAGCCATTCAATTGACTCAGCACCTTTCGAATGAACAACAAAAATCGCATTATATTAACTGTTATAAATAGATTAAATTTTGCACTATAAAAGCGCTTCACTCGAATTCTCATGAATTTATGAATGATTTTTCAATGTGACTCTATTTCTTGATGGTCACCATAAAAGGTCAGAAGTGTAAATATTTTGATTCATATTCCAAAGAAGATCTGATAAGGAAAGAACGTTCATTGACACACAATCACGAAGAATTACATGACGAAATCAATGTTATCGATGCGGATTTTTTTTTCTCGTTTTGCAGTTTCAACAAAGGATCAGAGAGACAGTACTCTTTGCGGGCGCCGGATGCCCTGGAGGAGCCCATAGTCCTTGTGGATCTGGACACATCGAACGGTGTGATGTTCCCACTGTACGATCCAGACACAAATCTCGTCTTTCTGTGCGGCAAGGGTGACTCTGTCATCAGATACTTTGAGGTGAGATCTCGGAAAATTTCCGACAATAGTTTCTCTACATAATTCCACACCCCGCAGATCACACCTGAGCCACCATTTGTGCACTACATCAACACACACCAGACGCAGGATCCACAGCGTGGCATTGGAATGATGCCGAAGCGCGGATGCGATGTGAATATCAATGAGATCGCCAGATTCTATCGGCTCAACAACAATGGCTACTGTCAGATCATCTCAATGACTGTCCCGAGGATGTCTGAACTGTTCCAGGAGGATCTCTATCCGGACACCATTTCGGATGAGCCTGGAATGACGGCGGAAGAGTGGTCGGCCGGAAAGGACGCCGATCCTGTCCTTGTGTCACTCAAAGTGAGTCTCTCTTGTCCCCCTGACGCTTCCGGTGGGAGTGCGCTTGGTGTTGGGTGACTCTATGCACGGTAATCTCTTGGTGGTGGTCCTTTCTTTCAACTGAAACTCTCGTCAAATTGGATAAATAACCCTGTATATGTTTGGCATCTCACCAATTTATTGGCTTTAATTTGATGTAAATGTAATTTGAAGGGTTTGAGAATTAATCCTCTGGGCCTTTAACGTTGGTTAAGATTGACTGGTGTTGAAATTTAATATGGGTGAATTAATTGGATTCTTCAAGAAAGAGAGAGAGAGAGAGAAAGAGAGTATGCAATTAAGAGATGAAACTCTTGAATGAGCTAGAAAGTGAATTGTTCGCGTTATTGCTCGAGGAGACCCGCATGTTAAAGGTCGAATCTATAAATTTCTCTTTAATTCAGTAGCCAAAAGATCTTTTGCTGCTGATAAAGTAATATTTTATTGCCACAACACGCTCTTGAGCTCATCCAAAGAACGAACTATACTGCAATTAATTGATTTATTAAGTCTGCACAGCAATTTTTCCCCGCGATTCTCGGCAGCAGTGTCGAGAGTGGGATTTCATTGAGCACTCTGCGAAGAGCCACTGCGCTCTCACCTCTTTTTTTATTCACTACAATGAGCGTGAAATGAAATTTCGAGTCAATTTTTCATTATTATTTCCTCTACCATATCTATAAATATAATACTGTTGAAATTGTTTGTTTTTTTTTGGTCTGCAATTTGCCTTTAAAATACTCGTTATATCTCGCTCACATTGGTGAAATGAGTGTAAATTATAAAGTCTCTGCAAGAGATTCACCCTCCAGCAGGCACATTCCTGCCGGTTTCTCTCTGGCGATGTCACAAGAATGGGCGCTATAAACTCTGTTAATAGGATCGCAATCTTCTCGTGCAGGGTGGTTACATTTCGCCGTCGAACTCCAAGCAGCTCACCGTCACGAAGAAGTCCAATGTGCTGGACAAGATCCCACCAAGAGGCCCGAAAGGAGCGGCCGGCGTTGGCCAGAACAACTCTTCCGCCTCAAATGCCGCCAATAACAACGTTTCCACCCCACAATCTTCCGGAGTATCGGTGAGTCTTGAAAGTGCATTCAGACATTCTCAGTGATGATATTTGAGAGTGTCTTCCATGAGAATTGATTAGTAATCATAAGAACCAATGAAGTGTCGTCAAAATCACACTTGTCTAACTCTATGAATCTCTTGTGAAACACTCTAAAATGCCTTTGATTTCTGATACTTTCGCAGGAAGCAGAACTGAAGGAGGTGCTCGATGAGATTCGCAAGAACAAAGACGAGATCCGGAAGCTGAAGGCGGTGATTGTGAAGCACGAGAACCGGATTCGTGCGCTGGAGGCGCCCAGCAAGGCCAAAACGGAGAACGAGAACGGATCTAGTCACGTGGACGCTGGATCCCAGCTTCGTGGGTCGGATGAGCCGATGGAATCGCTCAAGCTGGCGCCCGACGAAGTGTAAATGAGTGGAGAAAGGGAGCTTCATCGTCTTTTCATCCCTCTTAGATTTTCTACATGCTCTTTTTCATGCCTATATTTATCTTCTGAGTCTCATGTCAATATCTGTGTTCTGACATGAGAAGAGAAAAGAAAGAAAGAAAAAAACCCCTTCTTTGTAGAAAGAGAGGAAATTGTAACGAAAAACACATAACTAACAAAAATTGTATAGAGAAAAATTTATACTCTTCAAGTTAAAAAAACAATGGAAAGAAAATATTTGTTGATGAAGATGAAGAAAAGATATAATTGTGTACTGTAAAGTATTTGTAGCGCAAATGAAGAACTAATCGCCCCTGTTTTGGACTTTTTAAACGGAGTTGTGCCCTAAAATCACATTTTTTTAACATGTACAGTTGAGAACAATTTACTTGGAAGGATTTAAGAAAAAAAAATGTATATCTTATTAGGCTGTGCCAATTTGTTGCTTGAATCAACTTTCTTTTAAATAATTGAGAGAAAAAAAGAAACACAATTTTTAACAAAATGTCACGGAAAAGGACATCAATCATTAAGAGAATTTATGCAAAGAGATTTGTTAAGAGAAAAAGAAAATCACAAATAATTGTTATTCAACAGAAACTTGAGAGATTTTATCAAATTGAAAAAAAAATATATATATAAATCAACGACTCTGGAAACAACGAAGATGCGACGATAATTGTAAATGATTTTTTAAGTGTATTTTCTCGTTTTTTAATACCCTCTCTTATGTCGCCTCAGTGAGTAACTCCCTGTTTTCCTTCCTCCCTGTTTTATACATGTACCTATTATATATTTTACTACTTGAGATTTAAATGAAGAAACGAAATGGAAATTGTATGAAAAAAAAGAATTGTCTATATTAATTGTAAATGTTATTTATTTGTTTTCTTCTTCTTTTTCAAAAAGTCTGTGTTTTCTACATTGTCTTTAAATAGAAAATCAATTTCAACAGCTAAATGTGAATCAATTATTATTATTAGAGAAACATTTCTCGCAGAAAGAGAACCTATATAATGTTTTGTCAAAGAGAGCAAGAAGAATCAAAAATTGTGTTCGTTTCATTGATTTACAACGTTCTTGATTTTTTTTTCTCATATATCCTTAAAATCCATGCTTTTTACAGTGGGAGAACCTTTATCGACTATCTACACACTTAATTTTATTACTTTACTTTTATACTTTGTCTCTTACGGAAGTCTACATTAATCATTTCTTTATGTATCATAGTTAAAAGTTTTTTTTTGTCTCTTTTCAAATATCTTGCCTTTTTTTTTACAACTTCCTCTGAAAAATCCTTTCTCTCTCTCTCTCTTCACGCGATTTCTATTGAAGAAAATGGTCACATCTAAACGTTCAACAAGGCAAAAGCAGAACGAAATAGCAAAACGGAAAAGTGTCCAAAGTATTCAACTTTTACTGTCTATCACAAGAAATTAAAACAAAAAAAAAATTGAAAATGAAGAGAAACAAAGCCCCTATATATGTTTTTTTTGCCCATGAGGACAAAAGGAAACTAAGAAATTATTTGTTGTACAAAAAGAGAGAAGAAGAAAGAAGAACGAAATACAATTTAATGTCAGCGTCGAAAATTCTGGCAAATTTTGCTTTTTACGAAGCGACACGAAAAATGAATTCATCAGTCGTTCACCCAAAAAGCGGAGTCAAACTGACAGAAAGCCAGACGCAGAAGAGTTTTTCTTTGTGTAAACTAACAAACAAAAATAGTGCTTAAAAAAAAGGAAATTTTTCTTATACATTTACAAGAGAAAATAAGAAATATATTAAAACACGTGTTGAAGAGAAAAGAAAAACATGACTGAATAAGAGTTGTCGAGAAGCTACAAATAATTAAATTATTTACTAGCACAGAGAAATACAATAATTTTTAGATACTAACATAAATTAAAAAAAAAGAAAAGTAAATTTGCATAAAAAGGAATTCTTTTTTAATTGAATTATAATCTTATCAATTGTTTATCATCTCATTTTTTCTTCTTCTTCATATAATCTTCTTTTTTTTCCTATTCTCGTTAGTTCACTTTTTTATGCCTATTTGCATTGCTCTTCGACCAAAAAGACTTTCTCTCTCTCTCTCATACAATTTGGCTTTTGATCGAACAGATGCGTGGACAGCATTTTAGTTTTATTCCTTGCCTAATTTTGAGAATCAATTCTCATTTTTTTTGTTTTACGATATAATCTTTACATACAATAACTTTTATTCTTATTACAATTTTCTCTTAAAATCCTTACTTCCTTATCCATCTTATCTCATTCATTACAATATTTTACTTCTTTAAGATAATACAATTTTTTTGATCTTTACCATTTTCTCTCAATGTCTGTTCGTCTTCTATCCGTCCTTTAATTTAAGAGTGTTTCTTTAGTGCGAATTAAGAGAAATTGTCGACTACCTTCTTGTTTCTTCTTTTCTTTTTTCCTAACAAAAAAGAACCCCTGTTCTGTGTATACTCACCATGTCATCCATATTCACAGTCATGCATGCGCGCATTTAAATCCCTTTTTGGCCACCAATTCTCACACAGGATGCGTTTCGTTCATCTCAAACAGCACTTGCGCTATTGTCCGACTCGATTCCACGTTGCTCAGTGCCACACTCGCCAGATGTGGCTCGTGGTATCGAAGCATTCTGCACAAATCGAATAGTATAATGTTAAGTCTTTCGCCTCCTGATCGGCAGCTCAAGAGAAAACTCACCGTTTTGCAGATCCACTGTAATTAACTAAGTTTCTGAGAATCAACGATGCCGTCAGCCGGATGCTTTTAGTCACTGGACCCTCATTGTCATCCTGAAAATCGAATAACCAGCATTAAATTGCGTGAAACAGACTCAATTTCCTCAGTTGATAGTCACCATGAGCTCCTTGGGATTGACAAACTCCATCGAGTGGTGGCGCTTGATTGCCTGCATTGCTGCACTGCCCGCCACACTTGGCAGTGATGTTGTCAAGGAGCCGGAGGACGACGTCGAGAGTGCCGGAGACGCCGTGCCACCGTCACCAGAGGCACCCGAGGCAGGATTTGGACTCCCGACATTCTTGATCAGCGTCACCGGATGCGTCTGATGCGTGGCACTGTTCTGAACGCCACACGTCAGTCGTCTCTGGACGGCCATCTTAAAGGACTGCAACGGGGAAGACAGGAGGATTAGAAGATAAGGAAATGCCAGAGCATGAATCTTCGACACTCACCTCGGCTGTGCAGTGGCGATCGAAGATATGTGTCATGAGGGAGAATCGCTTCCTAGGCAGATTGTCACAGAGATTCGGTCCAGGTCCCCATTGGCAGTAGATCTCCGCACTGGGATCCAGACCGTTGGGACAGTGCACATTGCACGCGTGGATGTACACCTCATTGGCCGACTTGAACTTCTTCCTGGGACAGCCTCGCCAGTCGCACACCCACATCCAGCTCGCCTCCACCTCTTCCTGCTCAGGCTTCGCCGGAGCAGTGGTCACTTCCGCCGCTTTGGGCACCGCCTGGGGCGTCGGCGAGGGTCCTTTGCTGCTCTGCGGCGACTGAGGCGCACTCGATGGCACAGAATTCGACCCCTTGGCGGTCTCCTTCGTCGCCGGCGGTGTCGTCGCCGGTGAATTGTGACCCTCAGTCGTCGGCTTCTGCACAATTGTCATACTCGTGGTATTGATCGCTGGTGGGACATTCGCTGGCTGCTGCGTCGTCACAATTATCTGCTGCGCGGGCTTCTTCTCCACCGCGGCGACAGCGGAAATCGGTGACTGAGCATTGGTCACGACAGTGCTGAGACTGGGCGGATTCGCCAGTGTGCTCGTAATACTTGTGGTCTGGTTGTTGGCCAGTTGATTCATAATGACATGATGCTGCACCGGTCGCTGCATCTGAGTGACAACCATCTGCTGTCCCTGCTGCGTCATGATGATCTTCTGCGGATTCGCACCGCCCACTGCACTTCCCGTCGGGGCACTCGGCTGTTGCAGGATGATGATGGTCTTGGTTGCTGTTCCTACGCAAGAGGAAGGACAAAAGTAAGTCTCTCCGAGTCTGCACAGTGTTTGAAGGGGAAATACTCACCCTGCTGTTGCGGAGACTGCGTCACCAGGAGTGTCTGCAGAGGATGCGAAGCCTGTGGAGCTGCCACAACGTACGTCTGTCCCTGTGGATTTGTCGCCAGGACGTACTGAGTCTGTGGTTGTGCCGCCAACTGCATCGGCTGCACCAGCTGCCCAGTCTTGGTCAACTGCAGCTGATTTGTCGCCCCAGCAGAGTGTTGCAGTATCACAGGAACCGTCTGAAAGCCCGAATCCGTCTTAATTGTCGCCGTTGTTTGCGTGCCCAGATTCGCCGCTCCGCCCTGCGACAAGATCATCTGCGGCTGCGCCCCCGGAGACATGATGATCTGTCGCTGCAGTGGCACTTGTATCATCTGCTGCTGCTGCTGCTGCTGTTGCTGCCCACTCGACGTCACCTCAGGCACAGTCGTCACCACTTTCTTCTCCACAATCACCGTCTTCGCCGGCGCGGGCGTTTGTACTTTCGCCGCCACTTCCTCCTCCTCACTCTGTGGCTGAGATTGTGACTCACCGTCCTCCTCCAGATCCTCATCCTCGAGTGCTGAAGCTGCCAATTCGGCGAACAACTTCGCCGCATTTGCCGACGGAGCCGCCGGCACAGACTCATCCTCCTCTTCATTCGAATCAATTGTGATCACTTCGGTGATATTTGTCGCATTGGACTCCGTTGTCGCCTTCTTCGGTGGCGGCGAGGACTCCTCACCCGACTCCTCGCCGTCTTCGAGACGCCTCTTGAGACTCTTATCCCCACTGTTGCTGTTGCTCCCGCCAAATATCGGCGGATCCAAGGACTTTCTCTCCAGCAAATCCGCCAGCATCTTATTTGCACTCACAACTTGTGACGCCTTGTTGAGAGAGTCCTTCGAGCTGTTGTCATCCTCAGTCGAGCACGCCGAACTCTGATTGTTCTGCACGAGAACACCCTCAAAACTCGTGAGAGAATTGTCCGCATCCTCAGCAAAGGCATTCTGATTGACACTCGTCACACTCGATGCCACCGAATTGTTCCCAGTCGAGTTGGAGTCATCATCAATCTTCGTCGGCGCATTGACAATCACTTGGCGCTGGTTCGGAATGCCACTGAGCGGCGCCAGCGGTGGAACTGGATCCCAATTGTTCGCCACTCCGTGATCCACATCTTTCTTCTCCAGTATAATCGGTGAGGAAATGATATTGGCGCCAAGTGGAGCCTGAAAAAAGACCACCAACATTCATCAGCATTGCTCACAAAGAAAAAAAACCATAGAAGTGCTCACCTTCACTGTGATATTTGTTTTTATTGGTGTTATTGGAGAATTTGTCACTTGATTGATTGCAGGATTGGAAAGAGTTCCATTTCCAGTTTGCTTCTGTTGCGCCAACTCCTTCTGCTTCTGCAAATGCTGTCGCTGTGCAACCTAATTGGCAATCAGAAAAGAGACCAAATTCAGTTTGCATTCACCACAATTTCCATGAAATAAAAAAATAAAATCGTATTAGAGAGCGCACACTTTGCATTAGAGTCATGCGATATATTGGCACAAAACGTTTGAATAAATCTATTTTCTAACTGATGATCGTTCATGTATTTAGTTGTTATGCAAAATCTATCTTTGCTTTTTTATATCTCTCATCAAGAGACAATTATGGCAAAACGAGTTTTGTGTTATTTCAAATAAACATTTCAACACTAATAAAAATAATACGACATCAAATTTGAATTGCAGCAATTAAGGTAGATATTAAAGATAAAGGCTTTTTAATGCATGCCAATTACACACTTTATACTATGGAGCTTTGGCTTTAAATGTTTGCATTGACCCTAAAAAGAGTCATTGGAGAACTCACAAGTCTTCATCATCCTAATCTAATCATCATTCTTCACAACTGTTTGATTTTGTCTCTCTTTTTCTCTCTCTCTCTTTTTTTGGCAAAAGAAATCATAGTGTGGAAGAATTAGCATAAAAAGTAGTGTTAGTAGAATTGTTACCTGATGCAGATTCACATTTGGAGCAATCAAACAAGTAGAAACACTACTACCAGCGCTTTGGTCGTTAACAGGGGATGTTACCTTATTGGCCAAGAGACTCTTAATTAAACTACTGCTGGACGTGGACGCTGGCAGAGCGTTTGATGTCACAGACGACGATGCAGCCGCAGATTGATTTGCATTGAGCAGCGGCTTCACCATCGCACTATTCACATTCGCCACTTGCTGATTGCCACCGACAACAATCACATGATTCTCCGCATGTTGATGGTTTAAGGCGTGCTGTGGCTTCTGCATAGTCGACTGGAAGGAAGGGAGAGAAGCAAATCAATTAGTTTTTAGGCAGTAATCAATCACCGCAAAGGTGCACTTCTAAAATACGATGAACTGTATGTATGCGTGTGTGTGTAGCAAATTGAATGCTTGTGAAATGTCGACTGAGAATCATCGATGCTTACTGGCTTCTTGTAATTAACAACACTTTTGCCCTGATTCAGCTGTGCTACCAATATCGATCCATGCTGTTTCTGTGGCTGCTGACCCACTGTCACTTTGTGTTGCACCTGAACCGGCGTCTGATTGCAACTTGTCACCTCGGCCGGCGTTGCAGAAGCCGTCTGGGATGAGGTAATGTCAGTGTTTATCATCTAGCATGTCGATTTCAAGAAGCATAGCAGCACAGGACAGAGAAGAGCATTCACAATACTGAGCCCTCCACCAGAAAAAAAGACCAACAACAACTAATCTATTCATGTAGTGTAATCAAAGTAAATTCTACCATTCCCCCCGAAGACAGAGAGAAACTTTCTCCCCCCGTCGAAGACAAAAAGCAGAAGACAACTCGAAACAGAGAAAGAAGGTGCAGCACATGAACAAGGAAAAAGCAAGCGAATCTTCCCCAACTCACCACGATCATCCCCTTGTGCACCACAGGCAGAGGCTTCGCGCGGATCTTGATGCCCTCATAATAGAACTGAGGACTATCCGATGGCACTTGTTCCAGCTTCATAGGATTCGGTCCAACAGTGCCGCCAAAAACCGACCGGACACACCGAGGAAAGTGCACTGGAGACACCACACCTCGTCGTCCCAATTTAGAACTCGCTGTTATGTACATTTTATACAATTCCTGTTGCTCAATGCGCGTATTGAGATTGACGGCGGGCTCAAAAGTCGCCCTCAGCCAGGCCAGGGCAAATTGTTCGTTCTCCTAAAAGAGAAGACAGAGAGGAAAAAAATAAACAATGAGAGATGAATTACTGCCATTGTCTTGTTGACAGAGAAACATGAGAAGTGAGCGAAAGAAAGCGAGAAAGAAACCACAATTATTACATTGTTTCTCTCACCGCCAAGGCAAAGACAGTCTCGCGACTGTGAAATGTGTGTTTTCGTGTCTCTTTGCATGAGTCAAAAAAAAGAGAGAAAAACACTAATTGTAGAATCTCTCTTTTCTCACCTGTATCAATTGCTGTTGAGCGTGTTTTGCCGCGACAGTTGGTGAATTCTGCTGCGAAGACTGCGAATCAACAGAAATCACCGGAACATTCGATGCTGCACTGTTCTGGGCATTGGCTATCGCCACATTGGGATTGTTTTGGGCACTTTGTGGTAATTTGGGTGAAGCCACGCCGACCGGCACGGCTGCTACACTCGACACCAACTGTGAGGGCATGATCGCCTTGATGGGACTGTTGTTGGCGACCAGCGGTGGAATTGATGTGCAAATTTCTGCAAGAGGAGGAGAACACAGAGAAATGTCAGCAAATCCCCAGAGACACTTCGTGAGTCACGTACTTTGAGCATCATGTTGGCTAAGGGTGGTCAATGAGTGAGTTGAGTAGCCAGAGGTGGAGTGAGTCATGAGATTAGCCGGATGGTTGATCATTGAGCCACTGTTGATGATGTTGTGCGACGCCAGCGAAGAGAAGTGTGCATTTCCCGGCACTGTCTCAACAACACGCATCAGAATACATCCGTCAGCACCGTAACTCTGCGCCTCCACCGTGACCAGTGACACCAGAGTGTCCACAACTCCTCGCACCTGAACGATGGCATTGCAGGAGCGCTCGCCGAGCAGGCTCAGCGCGTAGATGCACTCGAGTGTGTACAGCAGAAGCATGATATCGTTGAGGCTGAGATAGAGACACACCTGGCGATACACCTTCTTGTCCAGACACTTCTGCAAGTGGTCGTCGTTTGAGGATTTTTGGCATAGCTTGTATAATACTTCGAGGCAACTGATGATAACTCCACGATCCTGCGACTCCAGCCCTTCCGTAATCGTCGACAGGAGACACCGCGTCAGGTCGTCCGTGCTGGGATCACTCAGCTCCAGTTCCAGGGCCAGATTGCCCAATATATCCAGACCCATGTGATGAAGATTGCTCCAGCGGATGTTGGCACTCATCACGAGGAAGCGCACGAGCGCCCGATTTCGCGCCAACACAGGCACATTGTCCTCAATGAAGCTCAGATTGCGAATGATCGTCGATATCTGCGTTATTCGCTGTCCAATGTACTCATGAGTGCCCAATCCGCGGCCCAAGCTCAGGAAACTCATCTCCGCCACTTCCAAGCTGCAGTCCTTTTCCGCCTCCTCCACCAGCACAACATCCTGCACATCTCGCTGCAAATGTTTGCTCACCACCTCGGCGGCGCGCACCAGTTTCTCATCCGAATTGGTGAAGTAGTCGTCAAACGACAACTCGAGTATTTGCGGCTTGTCCTGCAGACAATCATTCCAGAACGTTTGCAACGAGTGCTTCCGAATCTTCGAATAGTATTCCGTGAAGATGTCCCTCATTGTGTCTGAAAGAGAGGCAAAAATTAGCATGGGAATGCAGAAATACACTTGCAAACTCACGATGTTGAAAGAGTCCTGCGTGCGCCAGAAGAATGTCAATAAGCTTTGGACATCGCTCGATCTTCAGCGTGTGCTTGCCTTCATTGGACATCAGCGTGCAGACATTGATGGCAAAGTCCTGCTCATTCGGCAGTGGTGACATGAGTGACAAGAAGAGCTTGTCATACTCTGAATTCCTGTACAGATCCGTGGACATTTTATGCTGTGCTCTCTGTGCTTCTGCAAAGAGAGAGAGAAAAAAAACCACACACAACCTAGATAAAATATGCACACAATGAGAGTCTCCTTGAGATATTGCATTACATCAACATTCTGAGCCCTTGAATTCAACAATGGAAAGCTTCTCGACTTTCCGGACACATGAAAATTTTCCTACTAAGCAACACAATCAAGCTTATAAGCCCTCCTTAGCATGAAAAAGACCCTTCCTATAGGAAAACGGCGGTAAAACTACCTGAAACACTGTGCTGATGGTAGTTGTAGTTCGTGGGAACATTGTGCAGAAGTCTGGCGTTCCACCGCTTGTGCCTGTTCTCGTCATCTTCGTCATCCGCCCGCTCTGTCTCCTCCCCGTGAAAGTGCAGCTTCTCATAGCGGTCGAGATATCTCAGGTAGATGTACTTGATAGCCACAGGCGCATTGACAATCGAATTGGGGAAGCCAACCTCCTCCAAAACCTCGTCCCAGTCATTCCGCTGATTGACCTGGAAAGCGGGAAAACGTCAGAAATCCACCTCTCGTGCCGGCTGATGACGATTTACCTTGAGCCAACCCCCGCGACTCGTTACTTCGACGTACAATTTGTATAAATCCACTTCTTTCCCGCTTATCTTGGGGAATCTGGCGAATGGCGTCCTACAAAGCAAACAGTTGTGAGGTTATGTGAAAATCAATGGACTCTGCCTCTCTCTGGCCCATTTTTCCACACTCAGGACCACTTTGCCGGCTCCACGGATGCACCCCGTCACTACACTTACCCTTTATTCTCATGGAAAAGCTGTAATTCCTTCACAAACTCCTTCCGAAGTCGTTCTTCGTCGTCGCCAGACTTTGCATCCTCCCCTTTTGTCGGGGTCTTCTCGCCCTTGCTGGTGGCGTTGCTCTTGGAATTATCATCACCATTTGTCAACTGTGATATACTCGCTTGATTTGTCTCGGTAATGGTCATTTTACTTGAGGGGATATTAGGTAAAAATTATAAAATATACATCGACATTTCTCCGCGAACTGACAGCGACAACACCAGCACATCTATCTGGCGACAGCGACCCCTACACGATTCATCGCGGCGTCGGAGGGGAAAGCGGCGCGCAGTCTCGCACACCAGTCACCAGAGGCGCGCCGATCTGCCAGAAGTCCACCCTCTTTTGCTTCCGCCATGGCAATTTCCTGTGCTCGCCCGCCTCGCCGGCTGCCGCGAAAGGAGTCACTCTACAATCCATAAAGTTCCGACTTTGCTTAATTTAATTTTTCATCACTAGAAGACTGTTAGGCTGAGGAATTTTTACATAAATATGAAGTCTACGCTCTCATGAATTTGTACAATGCTCACTGCAGAAGTGGGAATAAATTCTATCTCTCTTGCGAGTGTTCGCAGAAGTCTCTCGCCAGTGCTTCTCGCGACACCGCAAACGTCACTGTCAGTGCTGTCAGTGGGTGGAATTTTCTCCTCCTGGCCAAATACTTGCTATTTCCAACCATTTCTTGCGCTCTGCATCCTCTCACGATGCCGGAGGGTGGCACGCAGTAGCCCCAGCGGCGCGTGGTGAACACTTTGGGGCGGAAGAGCGGATCGTTTCGCGGGAAAACGTTGCACTCGCGAGGGTATTGTTTGCCAATCGATTTTTTGTGAGGAGTCTTGTCGTGGGGCCAGCAAAATGATAAACAGTGCACAATTCTGCTTTCTGCTGTCGCTTCTGGGGCTCTTGCGGGGCGTATCCACGGTCGACGAGGACTACGAAGAGGGCTACTGCGCCCCGTACAACGGGAAGGTGTGCAAGTCCTTCATTGGCAGCAGGCAAGTGTGGTACAGCCGTGAAGATCCCACTGGCGGCTGGGAGAATGAGAAAATCACCACGGGACTCTGGGAGGAGATGATCTCTGAACTCCCGAGCACCTGCAGAGCAGCCGCTGAGGTATTTTGTGTGAAATGTTCATCGCGAAGAGAGGCTCTAATGTGATTTGATGGTATTTTCAGAAACTCCTCTGCGCCTATGCCTTTCCGCAGTGCGTCGTTGAAGATGGGGCCACAATGAAGCTGCCACTGTGCTATGAGGATTGCGTGGCCACGCACCTGCAATTCTGCTACAATGACTGGGTGTTGATTGAGGAGAAGAAGCTGAAGAAGAACTTCTTCAAGTCCAGGGGCCACTTTAGGCTGCCAGTGTGCGAGGAACTTCCCAGATACGAGCAGGATGTCAAGCCTCTGACCTGCTCTTACTTGGGACTCACTGAGATGAACGTCAACGAGATCACATGTGCGTGTTTTCCATCAGGAATCGTGCAAGAAACTGTTATAATTGTCTTTTCCATCTCTTGCAGATGACTGTCGCATGGGAAACGGTCGTTACTACTTGGGCACTGTGAATGTGACACAGGCGGGCATTCCTTGTCAACACTGGGACTCTCAGTCGCCTCATACTCACATCCAGCCGCCCAATGTCTTTCCGGAGGTGAGAAATGCGGAGAACTTCTGCCGCAATGCTGGAGGAAGCGAACCCTATCCGTGGTGCTACACCAGCGATCCGTCGACGCGATGGTCATACTGCGATGTTCCCCTTTGCCGTGAGTTCTTTCACCAGCCAAAAGATAGCAAAGACAGTAAAATGTCGTTTTCTCTCTCACAGCAAACTCAACAGATGACTTCACACGAGTGGATTCTTCGCAAATCTCGATGGAAACTTTCTTCACACCGTCGATGATCTTCTTGCTGTCCGGTATCGGATTTGTGGGCATCGTGATTCTGCATTTGCTGGTCTTGCTCGCATACAGAATCGTGAAGCACAAGCACAACAGGCAGACGAGTGGCCAGAGTGGCTATAATCCAGCCGCCACGCACGATTCCCAGAACATTGATCTCAACAAACTGCCAAGCAATTCTGCATATCATCAGACTGGTGCTCAGCTGAATCCGATCTTGGAGAAGCTGGAATATCCGCGCAACAACATCATTTACATCAGAGACTTGGGACAAGGCGCCTTCGGGCGGGTGTTCCAGGCCAAGGCGCCCGGCTTGATTGTCGGCGAGGAGTTCACGCTGGTGGCGGTGAAGATGCTAAAGGACGATGCCAGTCAGGACCTCCAGGTGGACTTCGAGCGGGAGGCGTGTCTCCTGGCGGAGTTTGATCATCCCAACATCGTGAAGCTGCTGGGCGTGTGCGCTCTGGGGCGCCCCATGTGCCTCTTGTTTGAGTACATGGCGCGCGGTGATCTCAATGAGTTCCTGCGCTCGTGCTCGCCTTACGTCCTGCAGACGCGCATGGAGACTGCACGGACTGAGCTGAGTCTCGGCGATCTGCTGGGCACGGCGCAGCAAATTGCCGCTGGGATGGTGTACTTGTCTGAGCGGAAGTTCGTTCATCGGGATCTGGCCACGAGGAATTGCCTCATTGATGATCACATGATTGTGAAGATCGCCGACTTTGGACTGTCGCACAAGATCTACCTGCAGGACTACTACAAAGGCAGCGAAAATGACGCCATTCCCATTCGCTGGATGCCTCTGGAGAGCATCTTGTACAACAAGTACACCGTCGAGACGGACGTTTGGGCGTTCGGCGTGTGTTTGTGGGAGATCTTCTCGTTCGCGCTGCAGCCATACTACGGCATGACGCACGAGGAGGTGGTGAAGTACGTGAAAGAGGGAAATATGCTGTCGTGTCCAGAAAATACGCCACTCTCCGTGTACAATCTCATGAGGAAGTGCTGGAACAAGAAGCCCTCAGATCGACCAAGCTTCCACTTTCTCTATCAAGCGTTGGAGCAAATAAGAGCGGACTATGACAACAATACAATACGCTAAGGTGAGTGGGAAAGAAGGACGAAATTCATGTGCTTTATCATCATGTTGAGTGACTTCTAAAATTTCCATGATTCTAATTTATTTATATGGATTCACCGGAAGACTGAATTATCATAAAACTCTACCCAAAGTATTAAGAATCTTTCTTCCAATGTGCATTTTAATTGTATTTCCGCTTTACACGCATGCACATGAATTTCTCTTCTAAAATATCTGGGACTAAATCTTAGCGATAGAGAAGAAAAAACTTAATTTTTGCTAGATTGCCAACTTTTGTTACGATGTAACTCAGGAATGAAGTTTGAAAACGAAAGAAAAATGGTTCATTTATATCCAAAAGCTCATGTTTACACAAATTTTGAATATAATTTAACGTTATTCGTCATTGAATCTTTGTATTACAATGTTTAAAGACTTTTTTTTTATTTTTACATATTGCAAAAATAGATGTAAATTTCAAAATCCGAAAGCCAAAAGAGAACTTTTTTACAAATGTATTTTATTTTGTATAGAAATTGTGTAAAATTTGCACGATTTGGAGGACTTTTCTCCATTCGCTGCAATAATTTTTGCTTAGTTTTTATGTTTTTTCTTTAAGCATAGAATAGAAAGACTGTAAATAGCAAATTCCATCTGACGGCGAACCTTTTAGGCATGTCTATTGAAATGTGACAAAAAAGGATGATGAATAGTGAACAAAGGTAGAAGAATAAGTATTTATAATTAAAGGTGTGACTTGATAATTTATATGATAGTAATAACACGAAAAGACATTGTGTCGCTGTTGTATTCAGTGTATTTATTCCACCGAGAGATGAAAATTTCGATTGCGTACTGTTTATTACCCTCTATTTATACTCTCTTATCACTTTGCTATACTCTCTTCAATTAACCTTACTCTCTTTGATGAAAATAAAAGATGAAAAATTGAGATGAAACAAGTGTAATTTAGGAATGCGTTGCGCTCACGCCAAGAGAAGGAAATCCTGTGCAGCCGCAGCGGAAAAGTGTGTAAAGTATTCTGACGAAGAATCTCGAAATAAAACATAAATTTTAGATAGCCAATCGATGTATTTCTTGCGCTAAAGATGTGTGCTTAATTGTATTTGAGGCATCTCTCGTGCAGTCTTTCTCGTTCCTCGTGAGTCTTGCGGCCATCAGTACCAGTAGCGGTATTGGGGATAGATGTAGTTGTAGGTGTTGGGAAGGTAAGTGCGCACAATTGGGTAGTCTGAAAGAGATTTCAGGTGAGAATCTCCAAAGATGGCAAGATCTTCAGTGGCGCACAACTCACAGTAGGGCTTGTAGTAGGCAAAAGCGAAGGAGGACGAGTCCTTGAGGTCCTTCTTCAAGTCATCGTCCTTCTTCACCTCGCCATACTTCATCGGAACGACGCCGTGCTTCACGTCGCCCTCCTTCACTGGAACTCCTGGGAAGCCCTCGCGGACGTCCTCGGGGAAGGGAAAGCCATAGGCGACAGCAACGAAGGCGAGAACCACGATGATCTGCAAGGATTGCATTAGCAACAAATCTCAACACTATCCCGCCGATCTCTTACCTTGAACATCTTGGAGGTTTTTATTTCACTTTGTGGAATATTTAGTGTGAATATTTCAGAACTTCTACTGAGACTGATGCTTTCTGAAGATCTCACGCGTCCTTTTATACTATTCAGGATGGTATATTTGTGATGGCAAAACAGGCTTTGATAAAGTTCACTGTCGAGGCAATTATTCTGAACAGAGAAGAAATAGATCTTAAGCTGCCAGACATTGAAACTGGATTGTAATTCTGCTCGTGGTCAATGATCTGGCGGATTCTTGGGCAGGTCTTTTGTTTGTCTAGCCAGAAATTGCGACATAATTAAGAGCTCACGCTTGGTCATGGCATTTGGCCACAAGATAATGCAATTCGTGCATAAGAGCTGAGATAAAAGCTGTTCTTTGCAGTTGGAATTTGTGAAAGTTTCAGACTCAGCAATGATTTAGAAGACCTAATTATGTTGAACAATTGTTTCATAATAACACATTTAATACATTGTTCAACAGATAAACTATTGAGCTGGTGCTGAAGCGCAAAAATGTGCTTACTCAGAGGAAAATGATAATTGTAAGGTTTATCACGAAAGGTCAAGAAATTGAATTAACCCTCTTCCAGCCCTTGTCTCGTTTTCGACCCAAATTCACATGTTCAAGGTGAACGATTGGAAATCTGCTTGATACACGCGCCAGAAAATTTTGTAAGTTTGTTTACATCAAGAGCAAAAAATTGAAAAATAAAATTACAAATCCGTGTGAAGAATAAAAAAAATTCCCCGATTTGTTGTTGTCAAAATGTATGTTAAACGGAATTTCTCTTGCACAACAAATGTGCAATTTAAGTTTCATTCTATTCACAAAATTACAAATTTCGATATATGTCCACCAAACCGTTCGCTGGTAGACGAAGCTTCCTAGTGCTTGCAGTAACAGCATTAATGTTGCAACACTGGTGAATTACAATCTATAGGATTGTCGTTTTCCATCCAAAGAGACGAAACGGCAAAATCTCTTCTTTACACTTCAACGTCGCAAGAATTCCATTATAGCTTAATATCACGCACTGTTATCAAAATAAATAATGAGAGTGTCTATTAACCGGAATTTGAGGAATGAATGAGGGTTAAAAATCAAGTGAAAGACCATAATTTCAACTCATACACATGTATTTTTGTTTTTATGTGGCCAAAAAGACAAATTTTGATCGAAGAATACAATCAATTCTCAGCCTTTAGTATCGAGTATTATGTCCTGAAATGAGAGAAATTACAATGATTTATCTCATTATGTTCTTTGCGCCCTAACAAAGAGCCTACCCTGATCATAGCCTCCGTGACTGTGTCCACCGTGTCCTCCATGACCGTGATTGTCGTGAGAGTTTCCGAAACCGCGTGAGTGACCGTCGTGTCCTCCATGTCCTCCGTGTCCCTGATTGAAACCGTGCGATTGTCCATGCGATCCTCCGAATCCTCCGTGCTGGTCGTGATGTCCTCTGTGCTGATCATGATGTCCTCCATGGCCACCGTGGCCACCATGGCTCTGATGCCCGTGTCCGTGCTCAAAGGATCCGTAAGGATGAGCGAAGGAGAACGCCACCAGGGCGGCAAAGATGGTCACGAACTTGACGAGGAATAGAAACAGAATTTCAATTGAATAAACACTCATCATTTTCACAATTTCACATAACTTCTCCGACACTCACCACAAATTTAGCCATTTCGAGTGACTGTTTGTAGTTTAAGAACTGCTCAAGGGTTTCACAGTAACGGAGTGACTTATACTTTAGCTGAGATATTCGCCAAAGATTCTGCTTTTATACTGTCCGCGGTTTCATCATGTCGCTCAACTTAATGTGCGTTGATAAGAACCTTATGTACATCTCGCATACTGTGTTTTGATTATCACGAATTCATTCACTATCTGGCTCGTGCATTTTTTATTTACAAAACATTAAATGATTGGATTGAGGTTGTGGAATAAAAAGAGACTTCGACATGAGTTTTGCGCGCCAAAATAAATAACGGGGAACTCTTCATTATTTTCGGGACTCTTTTCATCTCACAATTCATCACAACATGCTTGTTATTGCACATATTCGCGTCTGGGAAGAGGAATATGTGAAAGATTTGCTGTTATTCATCATCAATCGAGAGATAAGTCAGCAGCAATGCAGAATAGGTAAGAACTCTAAAGAAAAGTCTAAATATTCAATGATGCAAGTTTATTTCAAACTGTTTCTAAATGTCCGTCACCTTCCCGCTCTCGTGCTTTTCACAGCGAGTAGCGCAAGAACGGTTATATACATATTCGTCATCATCTGGGCAAGAAAAGATCTGGATCACGGAATGGAACCCTTTCTCAAACTTTAGTAGTGTTTTGGGTGTCCTGAAAACGCAAGATATACAATAAATTCCTTGTATGTATAGTTAATGTTGGAAAACTTACCATAATCATGATGATCAGGATGAAGAGAACGGTGGTCGTCATGTCCGTCAGACCGGAATGAAGACGGTGACGCCGGCTTTCCCTGGGGTTTGTCGTCAGCCTGGGCGAAATATCTGTGTCCATCGTGATGATGGTCCGGCGCGAAGTGGCCATGTCCGTCAGACCGGAATGAAGCCGCCGGCTTGGTTTTGGGTTTGTCGTCAGCCTGAGCGAAATATCTATGGTCATCGTGGTGATGGTCCGGCGCGAAGTGGCCATGTCCGTCAGCCCTGAATGAAGCCGCCGGCGCCGGCTTGGTTTTGGGTTTGTCGTCAGCCTGAGCGAAATATCTATGGTCATCGTGGTGATGGTCCGGCGCGAAGTGACCATGTCCGTCAGCCCTGAATGAAGCCGCCGGCGCCGGCTTTCCCTGGGGTTTGTCGTCAGCCTGAGCGAAGTATCCATGGCCATGATCGTAGTGATCAAGAGCCAAAGAGTACGCCACCATAATGGCAAAGATTGACACGAACTAGAGCGGAAGAGCGAATTATTAAACACTGTAATCAATATTCAGCACGTCTTATTGAAAACTTACCAAGAACTTGGTCATTTTGGTAGTTTGTTTGCACTTGACTTGTACTGGATATTCAAGTATAGGAGTGACTTACACTTCTGTTGAGATACTCGCCAAGATTCTGGCTTTTATACTGTCCGGAATCTCCTCATGCCGTCCAACTTAATGTGAATTAACAAGAACTCTATGAACATTTTGCACACCTCTTTTGATTACACAAATTCACACATTTCCTGATGTTCGTTAATTTTTTTTCACTTATTTATAAACATGATTCACTATTTGGATTCGGGGTTGTGAATGAAAAATACATTTTGTCTTGGGAAACGTGCAAAAACTTTGTCAATTTCGGGACTTTCCATCTTACAATTCATCTTCAACACAGTCAAATTTCTTAACAGGTTTATTATTGTGACTCTTATCTCGTAAGAAATCGGCTCCCGGAAAGAATTATGAGAGATTTGCAGTAATTATTTCCAATATACACTGATAAGAATTGACCTCAAATATGATACAATTATTTTTCCAAACATTCACAAATGAATATGATAGATTTATATAATAAGTGCATGGGTTTTTCCAGTGGAATATTTTCCTAGTCAGTCTGTTTTTCGGATCCAAATAGTGTCATTCATTTCACGAGCCAATTAAGCTTGGGAGTAGCGCGAATTGCAGTTTGGCCATAATTTTATCTTGACGTAAATTGCTTAATTACGTATGAAACTATTTTAAAAGTTCTATTTGGACTTTTTTCTTTTGGATGATGAATTAATACGCTTACTTACGGGATTTTCCCCGTTTCCTGAATTACGATCGTGAAAATGCTCTCATTAAAATTTTAGCATATTTCTCGTGCTGAAAGAGTGATTTTAATTTGGGGGCTTTTAATGGTCATTCAATTCCGAAAGGTTGAATTCCATGGAGTGACGAGAGTGAAAGTTTTGAGAGAAAACAACAAAATTCGGGAGAGAGAGAGTTTCTTTTATTTCACAAGCACTTTCTGGAATTCCGGGAGGGATTTTTAGAGTGAAAGCGGCGAGAGGCTGACCCATACAATGCACACTCCTCATCATGTGAAGGAACTGAAGATGTAAACTACTGGACAGGGCGTTTAGGAGCGCTCCACGGGGGCGCCGTAGCTGGTGATGGGCCTGAAATGCTGCGCGTCGAAGGATTGATTATGTGGGAGACTCTGGGGGACGCCGTATGTCTCGTGAGGCACCTCCACGTGGACTTCCTGTTCCACGGGTGGCAGAACAGGCAGAGGCGCATCTTCGTGGTAAACCTCGTGCTCCACGCCAACAACTCCAACTTCTCCCGTAGGCACGGATGTTTCCACGTGCGTGTACTGTGGGATCTGCGGGATCAGATGAGGTGGCAGTTGCGGAAGGAAGCTGGAAAACATCGATGGGTTAATGAATGTGTCACCAAATATCTCTTAACTGAGCTTACTGGAAAAGTGGCTGAGGAGGTGGAGGCGCAGCAGGCGCAACGACTTCAGTTGGAGGAGGAAGAACTGCCGGAGTCAGGGCGTTTCTGATGTAGGCGAATGGTCTGCTCATGCGATCAGTGATGGGATGAAGAATTGGCACTGCATTTCCAAGACTCTGCAGGGCATTCTCCACAAATCCTCTGGGAACTGGTACACTTCCGTTTTCCACGTATGTGAACTCTTGTGGCTCCGGCACCACAACTTCCTCCACGACTTCCTCCACGGGAGCAAGAGGAGCAACAGGAAGAACAGGAGCGAGCTGAGCGAACTGAGGCCGGAGGAAGAAGTTCACCGGCGGTGGGTGTGGCGCTGCCACTGGGTGGGGGAGCTTTCCCTTGAACTTCTTCAGCTTCTTAGCCAGCAGCTTGGCCGCGAGCTTGGCTTTGAGAACCTTGGCGAGAACTACGGGCGCTGCAGCCACTGCTAATGCTTTCTTCTTCACTAAAGCCGCCTGAGGGAAGAGCAAGAATTAAGACCACAATATATTTGAGGGAACTAATGGATTCCTACCGCCGCCAATCCTGTGACGGCTGCATCTGCAACCTTCTCATGAAGCAATTCCTTGGTCTCGTGAGCTGCCTTTATTTTGGCCTTCACCACGGGCTTCTGGATGTCGATGAGCTTCTTCGCGAAGACAAAGTGAGATAGGCCCTCGGCCACATCGTGAGTTAGCACTGTGATGAGCAACTGGAAGCAAAGAACACCTCAAAATGATGATCCTCATCAACAACACATTCCTCGTTGTGCCCGCATTACCCCACAAACGAGCCACTGCTTGGCGTTCATTCTGGCGAAGAACTTTGCACTTTATCCAAAGGAATCCAATGGGTCAAATATCTGGTGATGCACTTGATTCACAGACACAAAATTTCACTCGTCGACCATCAAAAGTAAACTAATGGATGCGATCACCCGTTCAACCCATTTAAGTACTCTCTGCGGATCCTCCTCGGAGAAATGGGCAGGTGGGAAGAAATGACTGAAATATCTGCCATACTCGAGCGCAGCTATCCCTCGGGGTATTGCAGATTTACGCAGAAAACTCGCTTTCAAACATCACCGAAGAATTTGATAAGGTTGGCCAAGAAATGCGGCACAATTCAGTGAAATTTGCCAATATCCTGAACAGAGTTTCTTGGCCTTAACATTTTCATTCACTGTGCCGTTTGCATTGATCAATAGTAATGTCGTATTACCTATGAATATATAAATGTGAGGAATACAAGCGGCTTAGAAATGTGAAATGTAGCCATTGAGCTATTCTACGCGAAGCGCTAATTTGAATGAGGGAGAGCAGCAAAGACTTTAAATATCATCAATCATGTGACTTAAAACTTGTTTGAAATTAAATAGATCACACATTCTTCAGTTTCAGTGGATCTAATCAACCTTTATCCATCAGAGAATCCAGCAAATATTTGCTACAATGTTAAATGATTGCTAGGAAGCATAAAATTATCATAATCCAAATCACAAACGCGTTTTATGTGATGAAACCATCCAGCTTGACATTTCACCTTGGCATCCTCACGAAAGTCTCGACAAACATCTCAGAGAACCGGCGATGCTGAACTGTGAAGAATTGCCAATGTTTCTGTTTGACTCCACGATCAGTGACATGATGGTTCAATATTCTCTCCATATATTATAAAATTCATTTTCCGCCACGCAAATTGACGTGCTAATTGGTAATACTAATTTAACAATGATGCACACAATTCTGTGGGAAGAGACATTAAATAATGCACAAAAGATGTGCCTAAATTAATTTACGTAAACGTGCGCGGTGGCTTCAAAAAATGTTGATTCAAGAATTATGGGCTCATCTTTGGTAATTTCGTTTGTCAGTTCTTTTTTTTGGGTTAAATTTCAGGGTGAACTCTATATCTCTAATTCCAAATAATAACGCAATGTGTGATTTTGGGCCACAAAATTTTGCACATCCAACCGTGTTTGTCTGCAGAAGTGCTCAAGTGATCGCAGTGAAAGTATGGCCTTTAGAAGACCAAATAAGGAGGAAAGCAGGTGGAAAAATCTCAAAATCTTCCATCAACTCATTTGCGTGTGAATGAGCTTAAATTATTCATTCAGGAAATTACGCAAGCAGTTGAGATTCTTACAAGAAGACGGCGTGAGTAAAATTCCTCTCAAGTCAATTATCAAGTCTAGATTTTATTTTTCAAAGTTTGCAAGTAGGGTGAAAGACAAAAGGTGACTCAGCGGTGCTTCATCGGGAAATCCGCACCCCAAGACCTTATCACTCTACTTCTAATGCGCCTCAATTGCCCAGGTTCATTATCATAGGCTTATCGAATCCTATCCGAGCGTGCAAAGTCAGATCGAAAGTGGATGCTCTTGAGCGGACGCGTGAGAGGAGTTTTGAAAGTGCCTCAGGTGGTCACATAGAGAGTGACCCACATTTTTGGCACAACCGCGCGACTTCCTCGAGCCTTGACTCATTATCGATAAGCATGAGAGACTTCCAAAGTTCCACTTCATCGGCATAGTTGGTCAGAAGAAAACAATAGTATGGTCCATACTGGAAATGATTTGAGCAGCGGCCAGAATTAATTAATCCCAATCACAGTGTTAATCATGTTAATTAATATGGGGAAAGGACTGGACATAAGTATTCCATGCATTTTGTATTTGACGAATTTTGATCTGAATTCACCATATTGAAGCGAGTAATTTTGGGATCACCCTCCGAAAATCTCCACGTGCAAATTTTTTTGCAAAACAGTATATTGTCCCACCGCTAATTGTTTTACAGCTTTTACAGAAATAAAGTAATTTAATAAGTATTGTTCTACAAATTGTGGTCCAAAAATAACCACAAAGGCCGCCAGTGTGTTGAGTCATGGCGAAGAAAGCACACAAAAAATAAGACGCATAAAATTGATCAATTAATACCTGCGAAAAGTGTGTGTATACTTTCCAACTCATGCAAACTTAACAGCGCGAAAAATGTGTTATCATTCGTGTATCACAGATCTTCTGCTGTGTGAACAATGGCAATTGGCAGAAATTTGTCACCAATAGTGGAGAAGTGAGTGTGTTGAGATGCTGGGTGACAAAAAAAGTGTGAAAATCCAGCAGATTTGCCGCTCGCGAAATACTGTATAAAAGATGGTCACCGAAGTTCATCCTGATCAGTTCAACCGTTGGCGCGCAAAGTGAAGGATCTCCAGCGACAATCTCATAGTTTTTCAAGACATTCCAGTTGTGAATAAGAGGATGGATAGCTCGAGCAGCAAAGTGAGATTTTTCCCAACATTTTATTGACTGTGCAAATTTTCCACATGGTTCAGTGGGTGATAATCAAAAAGTGCCATGATCATGATTTTCGGTCGATCGAATTTAGTGGAATATTTCCGCTGTTTGTTTACATTTCAGTGCAAATAGTCGTGAAATTTTTTTCGCCTTGCTAATTGAATGCTATTAGAAGAATATTTGCACCATGAGTTCACAATTTTACTGGAATTCTAAACATTTCTGTGAAAATTTCAATTTTTGTTTCCCAGTAGAAGTGAAATAAATTTTTCCCTCCACAACTGACGTGGATTTCTTTTTTATTCCAGCTCATTTTATTTTTCTTCGTGTTGGTCTTTTGCGCCACTTGCCAATGTGCACCTCCGAGTTTGCCAGTCGAATTGACGCCCGAATTCTTCCCAACTGCCGAATCACCACTCACGAAGCCCATCCAGTCTGCGGAGTACGTAGATTTCATCAACAAGTTATATGGACATGATCATTCCAAGAAGCCACTCACTCTGGACGCCCAGGCTTCGAATGTGGAGCAAGTGAGGGACATTTCTGAGGAGGTGGTCGACGATCACGTGCGGGAGAAGAGGGCCATCATCTTCAGGCCACTCTTCGTGTATCGGCAGCAGCAAGTGAGGCGGCAGAAGATCAAGGATCAGCGAAAGAAGCAGCAGCAGCAGAAGCCACAGGCTTCCCAGAGCTCCTCATCCAGTTCCAAACCCTCCGTGATCGTTCCTGCCAACACGAGTCACTTCATCGTGTACAACAACAAGATCTACCAGCAGTACAATCCCTACTATGCACCCTACCAGTACGGCCAGAAGTTCCCCTACCAGAAGTGGTGATCCGCGAGAGTCCTTGCCCCAGAAGTTGAGCCACCAAAAAGCAACCAGTCCAAACCTCCTAAGGAGACCAAGTTCAAAGTCATGTTGAAATTTAATGCCGTTTTCTCACATCTCAATGCTAATCACTTTAACATTGGGCTTAAGAGTTGTTGATGACAAAAATCGTTATGTGATGCAATTCGTACGGAGTTGCTCTTTAGTGATGATCTCCATTCATTTTTGATGAGTGTCTCTTGATTAGTCTCCTTACTCTTTTGCTGTCTTCCAATTAGTTGCTTACGATGCAAATCTATTTAATTAGTGTGTAGCACGTTTTTGTATTATTATTATTGTAGCAAAAGAGATAGGTTTAAATGGTAAAAAATAAATTTAATGTTACAAAAGAGTATTTTTTGTGAGTTTTCTTGAATGGCAGCGACGAGCGTATTCAAAAACATAGTGTGGGACACTGAGTTGATCATGTCCCACAAATAGTGAGTCTTGGATAAGTCAATAATGGATTTATGAATTATTATTCATAAATCCATCGGCATGCGTTATGTGATAAATAGCTTAGATTTATTGCTCATTTTACATGTGAAAATTCACAGGAAAAGTGATAAATCCCTCGCTTTGTTATTTGATCTTCAACAGATGAATCCTCATTGAAGAGATCATGAAAATGAGTGAGAAAAATATGATAATGCGTCAATATTTTGCTTCTTCCATCTTAGCACTGTGTAAATATTTATGGCCTGCACTCAGGCGCCATTCGATCGGACTTTGGAAGACATTTAACGAATGTGTACTGAATGAACGAAAGGCCACAGCCAAAAATATTGTCACGGCTAATTTGCAGCAAATTAAAAGATATTAGAACGAATGAGGTGACTCAGTAAATTGAAAAATCAAATATTTATCACATCAGCTTTAATTTTTAAATTTCCTTTTATGGTCGCTCTTTGCCTGTGTCTTTTTCTCAAATTCTATTTCAGCCTATCACGGAAATAAAAGACAGATTAGTGAATGTCTTTTAGACTGATTAAGGTATAAATAGCATTAATTGACCCTTCTGTTGTGTAATATCTAATTTTAAATATATTCTGATCGCATCATTCATTTGTGTAGACGACAAGTCGCCAATTTTAACCAGAAATTTGAAACTCGATCGTCTCTAAGTCTATAACGACGATTTTGGGATTTATATCCAAAATTATTTTCATTCTCGTAAGATTTCAAGAGTGTGTTGAATTATTGTGTATATAATTAATAAAGATTTAATTAAATTCAAAATAATCTCGCTGAATTCTCAATTTTAAAGGCGCAGTATCAAGTTCTTTGCAACGAAGTTGATGAACCTCTCTTTCTGTCACGAATATTTTACGTTGCATTGTGAAAAGCACATATATGTATTATTTCTAAGTAGGTAATTCACTGCCTACATATATCCGTTGATATTTTGTATAAATATTATGATGAAGAAACACTCAAAAATTTCTCTCCAAACAAACTCTCTAGACAAGAAATTACTAGAATAATAATTTAATTTTCATCAATTTATTTGAACATGAATAATATTTTCAATGGTTGCTTCCAACTGTCGCATCGTGATTAGGAAGTAATTGAATTATACTGTTCCTAAAGCGTGAGAAGAAGTGCCACAATTTCGTTGAGAGAAATTTCTCACAGAGTGAAAGTCTTGAGGTTTTTTTTTTAGAAAAATATTGTGTTTTATTAACAAGTGCTTTCTTGGTATAAATAGATTTTCTTAATATATAATGGATAAATGTTATCACATTCCACGCTCCATGATCAGGTGATTTGCATTGATCTTCTTCGACTGCACAGGTGATCCTCTGAGATGCTCAGAAGTGTGATGGCGAACTTAACCCCAGAGATTTGGGACAAAGAGACGCCTGCGCTTCTTCTTGGTCTGGCGGTACCGGAACAGTGGTTGATAGTAGAGCTGATTGCGGGATTCGCCACTGTGGGATAAAAGAATTGTTAGTCTCTCGGCTTAAGGTGATGGAGGAGAGAGAGTTGAAGTACCTATCAACGGATGCGCCGTAGAAGGAGTCAAATCTCGCTCGCTTATTCCGGACGAGGATCAGCTGATCGCCATCGTTGAACTGAGTCTCTGGATCGAGTTCGGGATCCAGTACGTCGCCTGTTCCCGGATCATCGGAGAGGCTCTCGTTTGGTACGTAGAAAGCAGACACAGTCGTGGCAGTTACAATGAAGAAGGTCAGTATCACAAAGTTCCGCATTTTCACAAAAATTTCAGGGATTCTCTCTCAAAACACAAGAATCTCTTCACTCAAGATTTCACACACTTTATGCTTGGGTAGAATCAGTGATCGCAATTTGTTCTCACGATTGGATCGTTCTGAGACTGAATGTGCCACAAGGAAGCCTCCCCGGTGCTTTTATACTCGATCGCCGGCGATCTTAAGTGGCTGAATAAACAAAGTCACAAGAAGCATGGCGAGCCACGGAGGAGGCGTGAGTTGAAAAACACAGTGCAACAATAACAACCCTGACATTCGAGAGATCGCGATTCCCCTGGCAGTGTCTCGGGCGATTATAGATGGCTCGCTAATTGGATTGGTCTACACGGCACTATGCGGAGGATTCATCGAGCAGCCATCGCACATGTGACTTGATCTCATTTGGCCAATCATCTAACCCCTCGCGATCCTCGATCCGCTCGCTCTGGGCAGCCACACGCTGTGGACAATCCCATGCCTCTTTACTTAATTCATCAGCATTACTCATTCTCCGTCGTATTCTCTCTCCAGTACCATTTTTTCTCACTCCAACTATCTGTCCGGATCGCACTGGATCGCGGGATCTGCACTCGCCACTCAATTCTGTCGCCCCTCCTCAAACACTCTGACAAATTAGCGCATTTTTCCACTTCCAGGAGACCACCTTATCGTCAACTCGTGTGGGAATTTCTAGAAACCATCGCATCAGAAGAAGCAACGAGAATTTGCAATTGAACAAATAATCACCGAAAATAAATTCGATGATCTCAATTGAACTCTCGATCATCGTAAATATTATTTTTCACACGGAAAATATTGAATTATAGCCTCGTGAGAAGTGCACGAATTACATCGATAAAAAAGGTGAAAATGACGGCATCGTTCGATAGTCACTCTTCTCGCATGATCGATAATTTGGCGTATTTTGAGGGGAATTTAGCACAAGAAATGCGCAATTGCGGAAGGTTCAATTGTCATGATCAAAGATGTACGATCTCGTTGATTGACCAGGAAAATATTGACATTCACTGTCATGGAAAAATGCGAAGAGAAAATCGATAAGTGCCAATCATTTGACCACAAATATAATATTAATTTGTGGGACAAGGTTCTCAACCTAAGCATTTGCCCTAAAACCACCCAAATTGCCAGCTAATGCTTCTAGAAGCACGTCTCAGAATGAGACAATCATGTTCCCAAGCCGAAAAATGCTTGTAAAACTAATTGTGTTAATTGGCCGAGAGTAGAATGTGTGCTAAAAGTTAATAAAGTGAAATAATTTAGCCACAAGTGTTTTTTGCCGGGTTCTCCGTAGTATTTTTTATGTTTTCTACTCAGCGGCGTTTTTTCTTTCTTCAAAAACTGTTTGCTCATTAAAATAGAGACACACTCTTCGTCTTCCAGGGAAATCGATTACATTTTGTCTGTTCTAGAATGATAAAATCATACTTCAAAGTTTTTCATTTCATGCTCGAATTTAATCTCTTAGGAATATTTCTCCGGCTGCAATTCACATTAGAAGATTATGTCTTTGATGAACTGGAATTCAAAGATCAAATCGCATTTTATTGAATTGAAATAAAACGTTTTTAGCACGCTTTTGTGGATCATACACTCGAAAATTAACACTCCTGTGCTATTCAACTTACCATCATGATAATTGAGCACAATAAATATCAACCATTTTCGCCTGATTCCAGAAGACATTGTGTGGTGGTGATTTTTGGAGGGTGGAGAAACATTGAGTTCCTGGACACGAGTGATAAAATGCTGCTCCCAAATATTTGGCTCCAAATATTTGGCTCCAAATATTGCGACATGATAATTTAAATGGCTGATAAACAATTCTAGTCACAACGCGATAAATATCCATTTATCGAGCAGATGTGTAAAGATGTTCTCATGGATTTTTCTGGATAGATGATCAAAGTTCTTCGCGGAAATTCAATTGCAAATTGTGGGTTTTAGGAACGTGTGGCGCAAAACAGTGGATGCACTTCCACTCTCTTGTGCACATGACAAATTATCGCGAAGAAGATGCAACAAGTAAGTCAGCATTAGTCACGAACTGTCTCAGGGATTTTCTAATGTGTATTACAACTCATCAGATGATCTCTCACTGCGCTTTGAACAAATATTTATTGATATGATTCAAACATCCCAACTTCGCATAACTTTAATTGCATAACATACGTTGTAAATAAATATCTTTTGAATATTCTCTTATGAGTCTCTTTAAATGTAAGAAACCTGTTATACAGCTGTACAGATTTAGCGCCTGGTGAGCATCTAATTTTGTACAATCATTTTAAATCTTGTTGTGTTGTTCTTATTCAGATTGTGACTGAAATTCCATTTCCAGCATACTGAATTGCAGAAATATAACGACGAATGAAATGATTGCACTTAAAGTCTACAGAAATATAAAAATTATGATAGAATGAATATCCCTTCAATTGCATCACATTTACCTTGTATAGTAGTTCTCTATTTATATTAGTCATCTCAAATGCCTTCAATTGGATGTCGTATCGATAAAACTTGAGGTACAAGATTTGGTTGAACTTCTTCTGGCGCAACGTTTTCGCATAGTTCTTCAGACAAACATCTTTGATTTCATTGACCTCCAGAGAGACATCATTGCATGAATTAGAATAAAATATTTAAATCTAATTTAGGAAACTTACGTGCTGTACGAATTTATGAGATGCGTTGTAGAGATAGATAAGATCGCCAAGATAAATCACAATTGGAATCGCGACTCCCAAGTAAATAAAATGAGAGGATTGATTGAGTGAAAGCAAGATATTTTGATAAGCAAAAGTGTGACCAACCGTGAATAGGAATATCATGTGAAATTCTGTGATTACCAAAAAGATGATACCCAAATTATTCCCAAAGGATTTTAGAATTCTCACATAATGATTGATTATATCTATTTGATGGTGAATTTCCTTGTTCCCGATAGAAAATCTTTGAACTGTTTTAGCGTAAACGCTCAGAATGTTACAAAGATGTCTCAAATATTGTGAATTGAAAAAAATTGCGATACTGGCAGTGTGAAGATAGAATACAAAGCAGAATTCTATGGTGTTCATGACTGAAGCACCCTCGATAGTAAGAACAGCGATATAAGCGTAGACAAGAACTTTCACAGATAATTCCAAATAGAAGAAGAAGAGATTTCGATTGAATTTAACACTTCCTTTTCCACATAAATAGCTTTGAATTAACTCATCCAATTCAATAAAAAGCTGCACAGGCTTCAAATATCGCGATGGTTTTATAAAGAAAACTATGGAAATTATAGTGTAGCACAAAGCCAAATTTCCGAGTGTGATAATAACTGTCAAGTAATTCACTGACCATGACCAATTGTGCAATGGATTTTCATCAGTATCAACTTCAGCCAACAACAAGTTTACGAGTAGAAGGCATCCATTTACACACGCATATCTGATCGCAATGAACGCAATTGTAATGCGATTATAGATAAGTTTTCCATTGTACACAACAAAAGGACAAATTCCGAAGAAGGCGAAGATATTGAGGACTTTCCCGTGGACTTCCAAAAAGCCCATTTTCAATCAACTGGACAATTAAGCAGTACAAGCCCTCGCTGTGTTCATGGAAACTTATTAATTATTTATGATATGTTGACTGACCTGCTAATCAAGATTAATTATTACGAAACGGCAGTAAAAATGTGTTAGGAAAATTGTAATTTATCTCCGAAAGTAGATTTACACTGTTTCTGTAGATCATTGCAGCCTCAGCTTCAATCATTGTAGTTATTATAATAATTTCCATCCATTAGAGTTCGTTGGATCTCTAGCATATTGAATTGCATCATGATAAGAACATTAGATAAAACTGCACACAAAATCTGAAATTCGAAAGATGTGTATTTTTCATGGTACTTTTAAAGTATGTTAATTAATTTTAAATAAACAACAACCTTAAAGAGTAATTTTCTGTCCAGATTTGCTGTTCCAATTGTAGCCAATTTGATGTTCGTTCGCAAGAATTTCAGGTACATAATATCATTTCGCGGATGAGTGAAATTAATAGTTGCATAGTTTTTGAGACATGCTTTCTTCAATTGATTAACCTTCAAGATTCAAACATGTATTATAAAATGGAAAAATTTTATATCTCCATGAAATCTTACATTTTCTTGAGCTCTGTGAGAAGAATCGAGTAAAAGCACCAAATCAGTGAGATAAATAGAAAATGGTAAGCAAAGAAGTATGAAGAAAACCCAACCCATGCCCTGAAGCAAAACTGACACTAAAATTATCATGTGACCAATCATCAAGAGATAAATGAAATGAAACTCAATAATTACAGCGAAATTTATGCCCAAATTACTGCCGATAGACTTGAGAAACTTGACAAATTGAAAGAAAATTTGTATTTGTTCATCAAACAGTATTTCTTCCTTAAAATTCATAGTCATTCGCAAGAATTCCAAGACGGCTTTTACGTAGTTGTTCTGAATGTTATTCAGGAATCTAAGATAGAAAGAGTGGTAAAATATGGTTAGACTGGTGAAATGAATGTATAGAAGAGAGTAAATTTCAAACGCGTCTTTATTAAGAAGGTCTTGAAAAGACATAATCAGTAGAAGAATGTAGATGATAAATTTTAAAATGAATTCTATCCACCAATTTCTCCGCACTTTAAAACAATTCACTTTTATATCCATATTCCTTTGAACATATTCGTCAAACTTGACAATGATCTCAACAGGTTTAACATATCTTCTTGTGTTTAACAGGAAAGCAACGGAAATTACATTGTGGGTGAGAATTAAGTTCAACATTCCAATAGCGAATGACACCAAAGTCACAGACCAAGGAATATCTATTGTAGAAACACTTGGTGTGCAAATGTCCAGAATAATAAGGAAGAGATTAGGAAAAACAAATCGGCAAACTATTGCAGTCACTGTGTAGCGATTTTGGCAAATTCTTCCCTTCTTCATAACGAAAGGACAGATTCCCATGAAGGCGAAAATATTGAATATCTTCGAATGCGCTTCTACGAAGCTCATTTTCGACAAACTGAGCCCAAGTCCACGAGCAAGCGATGATTGAGCGTTGACGAAAACGTATTTCATTAATAACTTCTTTATTGACCTGCTAATCAAAATTAATAGTTTATTAAGAGGGTGCGGAATGAATGAAACAAGCTTATTCAATTAACTGACAATCACAAGCTTGATCACAAGTTATTGCAATATTTTGGAATAAAATAATTCCTCAGTCATGAATTGAAGTAAGATAGAGACTGAATAAACACATAAGTGAACCTATTTCATCGCCAACCACTGTAAAATAGGAAAAATTTTGTCACCAACACATTCACGTGAACTATTCTGTTCTCAACTGTTTTCTTATATGACATTCGGATAAGTCGTGTACTAAAATTAGATACATTTGAATTTTAGCTCCAAAACTGATGTATCCAAGGTAAGATTTTCTGCTCCTTGCAATGTTTTACACACAATTCCAAATTATATAAGACATTCGTACGCATTCTGTACAATTCCGTAGTAATCAAAGCTGTAAAGATAAATAAATTGACTAAATAAGAATCCTTAGCTGAGACAACCACCTTTAGTACTAAAGTTGAATCGAGAGAGAAAAAAAGTAAACTCGGAGCTTGTGAGGCTACAAAGTAAAAGTGTGGAAAAAAGTGCTGAAAATTGGTAGAGAAATCCACTTTTCTCACTGAATTACCCCACAAAACGGCACCTGTGTTAATTGCTAATCAATTGGTGATAGTGAAAAGTGTGTCAATATGTGATTTAGGATAAGAAGAGCCGAGTAAAATTGCGACGGTGTCTGGGGAGGCCTTTTTCCACTCAAACGCCATTCTGGTAAATCAATTTTTATTTACTCCCCGAAGCACCCAGAATTCTGGTGGAAAATGTGGCTTTTGGGGGCATTGAACACGTGTTTTCCGTGCAGGATCCCTCAAAGAGGTCATTTTTGGATATCTACAAGATGGATTTGGCTGAGACAATGAAGGCGGCCCTGTCCAATAGCAAGCCGGGCGGCGGCACTTCCGGAAACATGGTGGGCAATCCGTCTGGGATGAATCCCAACCACAGCGGCGGCCAGGGGCAGGATCAGTCCGTGGGAGCGGGCGCGGGATACGTCACGGAGAAGCTGTACATGCTGCTGCAGCTGTACTTGCAGAACAAGGGTTGGAATCCCAGCGTGGAGCTGCTTCAGTGCTTCTCTGAGCTCAAAGACAGCGCTCTCTTGCCAAACGCTGCCTATCTGCAGTGAGTCCCGGTCCGGGAATTTGCCGCCAGGCTTGTGAGTCTCTAACCTTTTCCCTCTCCGCAGGGTCCTGGCGAATCGACTGGCTCTGGACTCCCAGGGACGCTTGGTGCTACGCGAGTCCGGCAAAATCGTGCTTCCTTTCGAGCATTTTGCAAATGCGGTGATGCTTAAACACATGTCGGGACCCCATGGCCTCCATCTCAGCCTCGAGGCCACCGTGCGGGCTGTGATGGATTCGTACACGATCGGCCGCGAGAACTTCGGCATGGAGAAGGAGTTCATCGTGGAAGTGGTGCAATCGTGCCCCAATCCGGCGTGTCGCTTCTACAAGAACCACCTGGGGTCGCCGTTCATCGACCAGCAGTTCTCCGGACCCGGCATGAATCCGGACTTTCTCACGCACATGTCCCAAATGGCCAGCACAGGCGCGGCCAGCGGGACGACGGACATGCCCGGCATGGACAAGGGTGTCGTTGGGGCCAATAGTGGAGCACAGAGCGCAGTGGCGCAGGCTGCGGCCGCGGCTGCGAAGCACGCCAAGCAGAGTCAATCACAGATCACAGCAGCCATCATTCAGCAGCAAAATCGTGCCATAGCGCATCAGTCGCTGGAGAAGTTCGGCAACATGACGCCACTGGAGAAGCAGCGCGTCCTGCAGCAGCTGGACAAGAAGCACTACGAGACAACCCAGCAACAGCTGACGGCGAATATCTGCCCGCCGCCATCCAATGTGCCTGCAGTGAGCGGCAGCAGTTCCATCAATGTCCCGAGTGAGTATTCGCATTGCTCAATCCGACGATGCTGACTGACTGATGGCAAAATCACTCAGTTTGCGGTCGGCAATATAAATTTGGTGGGTGTATCACACATATAGGAGTTATTTTGGCGCCGATGAAAAGGCTGTAAAACGAGAAATGTGGCAGATTAACATGCGCGCAACCACAGAATTGCACCATGACAAAACACACTCTGCAAATGCGCACAGTGATTTCACAAATTGCATAGTATTTTGTTTACTAAGAATGTATTTTATTTTGTGATTTTATTTACTATCAAGTGTTCTTCTTTTTCTTTCTATGTTCTGTTTTATTTCGCGCCTCGTCTTCGTCATAACATAATGTGTCCTTAAGACTCCTCGAAGAGGCGAAGTAATGTGAGTGCTGATAATAAATTCCTAGGTATGATGTCGAGCAACGCCGTTGGCGCAAGTGGTGGGAATTTGATGGGTCAGCAAGTGCTCAATATGTCCACAGGCGGTCAGAATCACCTGCCGCCACCGCTGCCGCCGCAATCGCAGAATCAGCAATCGTCTGGCGGAATGGATCACAGTCAGCAGGTGCACAAGGACTTTCTGCGCACGAATCTGGACTGCCTGGAGACGCTGACGTCCAACAAGGACCTGCTGGCGCTCCACAACGGCGCCTGGGCCAATCAGGAGGGCCGCGATGGCCTGGCGATGGGCCAGGAGAAGATCGTGCGCGCCTTCGCGGAGCTCATGAGGAACATGGCGAGGATGAAGACCTTCATTCGGCCGTCCATGTGCAAGCCGTACGGGAAGCAGAGCGAGAGTCTGCAGAAGAGTGAGTAGAGAGTGCTGGTGTGTGCGATGAGGAATTGGAGGATGATTTTGCCTGTCTTTGCAGCCCTCATTGACACCATTCAGTTGGTGGTGTCCTTGCGCAATTGCTTGCCAGCTCCGCACATCCCGGTGAGCTCGTGGAAGAGCGAAGATCGCCATCGACGTGAGCCAGATCTTGGCAACTACGAAAGCTAAACGAGTTCCTCTTTCTCGAACAATTTGACGAATCTAAGAAGCTTGAAGTTCTATAGTATAACTAAGAAAGAAATACTTCACACGAGACGTTTTTACATAAAAATTAGAAAAACCTTGTTTATCTTTCAAATTAATATTTGCTAGCAGGAAGTTTCTTTTAAGTGTAAAACTGAGATAAGAGAGAGAGAGAGAGAGAGAGAGTGAAGAGTGTGAAAAGGAAAAACGAAGGAATATTAGTTTAAGAGTTTCTCAACTACACTATTAATAGAAGAAGTATAAAAACATGTTTCATTTCTTGTAAAAGGAAAATGAAGATTGAAGGAAAATCTCAATAATTTTTCAAACAAATGAAAGCAAGTAGAAATATTAACGTGAGATTTTATTCATTGGAATATGATGGTGAAAAAGCATATCTTTTTATTTACAATGCCATGTTTATCGAATCTGTTTTTATTTTATTTTATCTACTCTCTATAATCTTTCTGTGAGGCTATAAAAAGGATATTTATATTTTTATTTTATTGATTGAAATTTATTCTGTCATCACATTATGTCTAGTCAAGAGATTTTTTTTTGTATTTACTCGGTTATGATGGCTAAAAGCAAAAGAAAAACAATGAATTTATTTTTATTTATCTTGAATCTTTTCAAGGCAATTATTTGAAGACAAAAGTAAATCAAATGAAAATGAATGAGATTGACAAATTGTTAATGATGTGTTTTAAAGACATGAAGACGATGGAAAATGTAGGTTAAAAAATATTGTGGAAAAAAAAGAAATTGGCATTTTATCTGTGATAACAAAAAAAGAAGAAGAAAAGAAATGGAAAAGAACACTAATGATTTAAAATTCGGAATTAAGAAAAATAAGAATGAATCTCCAAAAATTTTTATTTTGACATAATATTTCTTTATTCTTTTTTTTATTCAATTGTGGCGTTTTGATTCTAATAAGGAGAAAATTTGTTAGGAAAATGAAGAATTTTGATATTGTAACTAGAATTTAACACTATGCAGCAATATTTATGCGTGTTTTATGAATTTTTCTAATCTCTCAAATGTTCCGTTGGCTCTCTACAATGCTTTATATCTTTTTTTTTTATGTTACATTGCGTGCTGAAGATGCAGCAGACGATTCGCGTTTATAAAAATAATCCAATATTCAGAAATAATTGTAATAATAGGTAAAAGAGAAAGATAAAACGAATATAAAACAGTGTTGCAATACTCTAAGAAGGAAGAAAAAAACCTACATTATAATATTCTCTCTATAATTTGACCTAAAGCTAACATTAATGGTAAAGTAGAATAAAAAAGGTAACATAATGCAACAAATATTAACTTCTAATGTAAAGTTCGAAGACTGCAATATTTCGCAAAAATGAACAGAAAAATGACACAAATTTTTTAAAATCCCGCCTGAGTTTTTTTTCTTTTGTTTTTTAAGCAAGTTAAATTTTTTCCCCTTTATTTAATAATTTATTATTGACTTATGAAATGGATTATTTAATTGAGTAAATCGTACAAAATGATTGATTTTAAGAATGGCAATCACATCAAATTATTATGCACAAAGTGCTCAATTAGCAGTATTAAATGGAATTCGATTGACAAACTAAAAGAGGATCAAAGCACAAAAAACGGTTGCCATTGTTTTTCTTATTGTTATAAAACATAAATGAATTTTTGAGATGAAAAGATGAAGGCAAAAATCCTGTTGACGTTACGAAATGCGGAGGAAAAATGTGAATTTGAAGAAATCATATCTTTGCTAATTATAACTTCACTTAAAATGGTAAAAATAAAATGCGATGATTAATTTTGTGGCCATAATTTTGCGCGAATTTATAAAAACTTTTACAATAACATTACATAAACTTCTTATAGATTAAAGAAAAAAAGATGATGATAAAATGGAAAGATATAATGAATTATCGTAAAAAGGATTATAGCTAATGGAATCTATGTGTAATTTAATATTCAAGCAAAAAAGTATATTCATTACTCTTACAAGAGGAGATCACATAAAATGAACATCATTAAAATTTCTGTGCAATAAACACTATATATTTGGCTTTTAATTCATTGAACTCTAAACAAGAACGACGCGCGATCGCCGTGGAAAATTGTCGGTCTGCCGCTCATTTTCTTCATTGCAATCAGCCCGCGAATGCAGTTTCCCCTCCGCTGAGCTTTTTCATCAATGAGCGGCCAATTAATCGATTCACTCAGCGCGCGTAGAGTGTGAATTTCCCCACAAATGCGATACTCTGCGCTTTTTTTCCTCACTCTGGAGCGCCTCTGTGTCACCCTGTGTGCTTTTGGGGCTCTCTCATCGTCTCTGTCGCTCCAATGGGGACAAAACTTCATTCTGACATGCGGCGCGCGAGTTTGTCTCGCAGAGCCAAAATCAACTCAGTCGCTGTCGAACCCGCTTCTAGATAGTTTGTCAATTAGCTTCTGCTCCTCCTCGTGGGCCCACATTTTCCCTAGCAAAGAAATTCACGAGGCAGATAAAGTAATCTTTCCGTCGACTCCATGATACCACTGCAGTGTCTTGCTAGTGTCTTACCCGAGCCATTGATTTCCGATAAGGCGCGCGCCTTATCATATAATTAGCATTTTTGTCACAGTGCGTAATCAGTGGGCATTCTCTGGGTCCGAAAAGAGCCGCACGATTCTTACATAAGGCAATTTTCCGGCCTCTTCAGGAGAAATGCGTGAATGCGAGTGAGATTTTAGTGGTTTTCCTGAAGCATTCGCGTGCCATCAAGTGGAACATTTCACGCACACACTTTCCAATCGATTTATTTCCACTCGGATCATAGCGTGGTGTCAGTGGGTGGAAAAGCCACGAAAAGTGCCAAAAAGTCCATGTTTCATCGACCAAATTAACACACATTGCTATCAGCTGAGGAAGTCCAGGTAATCCCAAGAAAGTCCACCCAATTACTAACGCTAATCCCTGTATTTTCTCAATCAAATCTCGGGCTCTTCATGCGGCTTTTCTGCATAGAAACGTGCCAATGCTGGCGCCAAATCGCCGGCCGATGATGAAAATCTCTGGAGGTGCAAATAAGCTAAATGGAACATCAAATATGTTTTTTTATTCACAAAAATTTTCTTCACCCACACTTATTTTCTTCAGAAAATAAACCACCATTTCACAGAAATTACACGAAGCTCTCCTAGAGACACACGCTTAAACTCTCTACGCACGTATGGCAGAAAGTTGTCTTGCGCGCGATCATTTACCTTGAAATGTTATTTTTTTTCTTCACTCTCTGTGCAAAATCTTCTGGGTCTATTTATATCACGCGACCGCAGGAAAGGTCTGTCTTTTGCATTAAAATTTGCATATCGAGGCGCTTTGGCCTGTTTTCTCAAACACACACAAACACACTTTTTGAGATGTTGTGCGATGGCAAAAAAGTTTTTAATTTTTGTCTAACTTCATTGTTTGGCATGATTTTCCACTTTCAATTTCAACTTTACAGTAATTTCATGCATAGGAATTTGTGATACCAAAATAGCTCATTTTACTCAATTCCGTGACTCATGAATGTCGAATTGTAATGAAAAAGTGACTTGTCGACACAAAATTGTTTAACTTTTTCAAGTGTCTGAATTACGTGAAAAAAAACGGTGTTTGATTTGCTTGTTTTTCACCTGATTCGGTGAATGTGTAAATTTAATGGAATGTAAAATATGTGACAAGCTGAAAAGAAGTTTAATGCAGCTTTAATCATATTAAGCAAAAATTACTCTTTATGGCAAAATGTTTCGTAATTAATAGTGTGTTGGAGTTTAATTCTTGAACTTTATGGGTTTGCGTAAGGAAAGCCCGCAATGAAGGCCAAACTTTCGCTCTCAAGAGACTCCTCGAGTGATTTGCTGAAATTGCCTGGATGGCAAGCAGACGAATTTGTTCTGATATTATGTATAACTCGTCATATCTCACAATATGTTGTCACTTTTTTTGTGTGTGGCTATTAATAAAAATCCGCCTATCACTTTATGAATCTCATTTCGTGGACGAAAATCAATATTTTTTGTGTACTTTTTCCTCTCGAACACACACACACACAGAACGACTCTTCGGACATCTAATAATGGCCTGGCAACAGAATTTATCCAAGAGCATGAATCCAATGAAATTAATTGAATAGTTTTCCAACACTTTCATTGAAGAAGCCATAAATACACACTATTCAATTAGGAGAGTAATAAATCTGCCTTTCCAATTAACTTACGACTCTCTCTCTCTCACCCTCTTTGCGTATTCTCACTTACGCAATGCCGAAAGACACTTGGAATCTCTCTTGAGAGGCTCACGGTGGAGCATTTGCAAATGATTCTAATGAATGCAAGAACTCCAGTGTGAGATAATTGACTTCTCGAGAGTCATTTGCATACAAATTATATCTGTGAAATTCAATTCTTGGTGGGAAATTGTGAGATATCACGTTGCACATTGAAGGCTTTATCAACATTGCTGAATACTCAGTATATTCCAATTCAACAGCTTCACTTTCAATCTCACCCAATTAGAAGCTCTGCGAGTTGATTCAAATGGAATGGAGCAAAAATTCCTCACAGAACCCTGAATTAAGTACACTCATTAATTCCAGTGTCCCACTTTTTCATTGAAATTGTGGCAAATGTGACATTTTTCACACGCAAAAATCGATTTTTCCAGAAATGTATTTAAATGTCTGACGAAAGTTGAAGGTTTGCTTGCATTTGATTGTGATAAATGTGTGGAAGAATCAACAGGTTTGCCTGCAAAAGTGCAAATCGTTACAATTACACAATATATATGTCAACTAATTAATGAGGTTACTTAATGTGTTGTCGCTTGAATTGAGAATTTTACCTTAAAGTTCTATGCATAAAATCTAGGGTAATTTTCTTATTATTTTTCAACTCATTGAATAACACGAAATATGGCTAAACTGCGGTCAATGTCTCAATGCCAGGCTTGTGCGAAATTTAATTTATTACTCACAATTCTCTGCCAGCATTGTTTAACAAGATTGAGTATTACAAGCAGACAAAGACGTTATTATTGAGAGAAAATATTGCGATGACTCGATAGAAATGTAGTATAATCATTATGCCTCATCGAACGTGTATTTGAGAGTGTTTTGTCTTCTCATTTCTGCTGATAAAGCAATGATTATTATGTTGAGTTTGCAGAACGTGCTTCTCCTCCTTTCTTCAGGTGACGAGTGCGCGTTAAGTGCGAAGAAATCAGTTGGTGAATTGAGCAATATGAATACTTATCGCGGAAACTGATTAAAAATTATTGCCCTGCACCCTTATCGCTCAGCAGCCAGTGTTCTGTCTGTCGGTGTTTGCTGAAGTCAAAAATCCTGACGTGTTTTTTTCTCTGTAGCTTTCTTCCAGATTTCTGGCGCCACGGAAAGTGGAGCGCGACAATGAGCTGAAGAAGTGGAGCTCTGGGTGGCCTAAAATGTGAGAGCGCGCATAGTTCGCCGAAAGTGCAGAAAATAGCAATTAAACTGAGAGGGAGAAGGTTGAAGAGTATTCTTTGGAGTGGAAGCCGGAGGCCGGTCATTAATGAATAAGACGATTGGATGGTATGAATCAGTTAAACTCTACTGCTTTCGCTACTCAGCCAGAGACCCACGCCTCAGAAATAGGCACAATCAATGTGGTGAGCTAAGGGGAGGCTTCTTGGCTGTCGACAACTAAAACGTCTCTCGCGCGATCGGATCCGCGACATTGTCAGTATTCCCCGTTGCGTGCACTAGTGTTTTGATTGCGCCCCTGCGAGACGCGCACAGCAATTGCGGAGCTCCACCAGGACTTGCGGCGAGTGCGATCGCGCCCGGGAATTGTTGTCCTGGGGCTGTTTTTAGCGTGCGGAAGTCAGGAAGTCACCTGGGAATTTTTTGCAAATAAAGTGCGCAATTCCGTGTCGCGTCTGCGACTGCCTGGACAGGTGCCAAGATTGGGTCAGTGTGGTGAGGATCTTGCGCGTCAATGGACTCCCCGAGTCTCACAACAAACGTGGAAGCGCCGCAGAAGAATGGCATTGCCAAGGACCAGCTCGCCCTCATCCGCTCGAGCCTGCTCAGTCCCAACGAGGTGACCTTCTGCGATGTCTCAGACAGCAGCGGCGCCACCCCCAAGCGACGCCGACGCCTCACGTCCACGGACACTGACGACTCCATCGCCTCCTCGGGAGAGCAGAAGCGCAAGCCGGCGATTCCCGACGGAGGATTCGGATGGGTGGTGGTGTTCGCGAGCCTGATGGTGTCTCTCATCTCCGACGGAGTGTCCTTCTCCTTTGGGCTCATCTACACCGAGCTGCTGACGTACTTCCGGGACTCTTCGCCGTCCAAGACGGCGTGGGTGGGGTCCCTGTTCCTGGCTGTGCCACTCCTCTGCGGCCCTATCATGTCCAACCTCGTGGACAAGTACGGCTGCCGCAAGATGACCATCATCGGGGGACTTATATCCGGGCTGGGCTTCGTCCTGGCCTCCGTCTGCGATTCCATTGAAGGTAATAAGGCGGCTAAGTGTGCATCCAGATGATTTTAAATTCAGGCAAGATTAGCGCAAAATGAAATCACGCAATTTTCTCTGAGTGTTCTTCAGTTCTTAGTGAGAGAAAAATCGTGTGTATTAAAATAATAACTTCCCTTTAATTTGCTTAATATGAAATGCATTGCATGAACTCATAAACTATAAGCTATGAAGGATTTTTATTAGAGGATTTTTACAGTCAAATTTCCTGTTCAGCGCCGAATAACAAGGCTTATGCAAGGTTTCGAGGAAGCATAATTTCGGGGAAATTCCATTTATTGATTAGCTAAGCAAGCAATATTTCTCTTTCAGGTCTCTACCTCACGTTTGGGATAATCGCTGGCCTGGGACTGGGCATTGGCTATGTCACAGCCGTGGTGTCGATCGCCTTCTGGTTCGACAAGAGAAGGACTTTTGCCACTGGCATTGGCGCGTCGGGAACTGGCCTGGGCACCTTCATCTACGCCCCATTCACACAGTGGCTCATCGAGACATTCGGCTGGCGAGGAGCCACTCTCATCCTGGCAGGGACACTCTTCAACATCTGCGTCTGCGGATGCCTCATGAGGGACCCAGACTGGCTCATTGAGGAGAATCGCCTCGAGAGCCTCAGCGAATCCGCGTCCAACAACAACTCCAGCGTGGCTCTGGATGAGATTAAGAAATTGCTGGAGACAGGGACGCCCAGAGAGGATGTCCTGGACACACTTATGACCAATTACAACACCGAGGCGAATCAGCATGTGGCTCTGGCGGAGGAAATGGTCTCGGGGAAGAAGTACTTGAGTGAAATCGTCCTGCCGACGTATCTGGATCCGAAGGACTCCGACATGGAAGGAAGCATCAAATTCGGGAGCAGAAGATCTCTGAGGAAGACCGACAGAGATCCGTCGATAGACAGTGAATTGTTGGGTGGACGACCTGAGAAGAAGGACAAGCACATTGCCAGCATGGAGACTCTGAATGAGTCGGAAAAGTTGTCCTTGTTGGATGCAAATTACTCCCTGGAAGACTTTAATTCCTCGAGGATTCCTTGGGCTATTGAGAAGATGAACTCCAGCCGATTGTCGCTTGATGAGAACCTGATGTCCACCAATTCCGTCACGGATGTGAACAACCACCGAAGGAGTCTTCGCGGCACATCATTGGATGCCGTCTTCGAGGTGGAGACCAAGAAAGTGGAGCCAGCGAAGCCTGAAGTGGTGACAGTGAGCTCAGGAATTCCTCTGTTAACAGTGACGAAGCCGAAAGGGATTCGCAGTCAGGGCAAGAAGAGACACGTAGATCCCAGAGTATTTCCTCATATGCGAACATCCAACTTCTACCGGAACATGAGAGTGCACCGGAATTCCATTCACTACCGTGGCGCTCTGCTGAACACGCATCGCTACCGCTTAAGGGCATCTTCGTGCCCCAATATATACAGGAATTCAATGACTACACTCGCAAAAGAAGAGGATGAGGTGAGTATTTAGCATGGACGATGGTCAGAACGAGGTTTAATCAATTCATTTTCCTCCTCCAGACTTGGTATGACAGCTTCGTGGACATCATAAAGTCAATATTCGACTTCTCCCTCTTCAAAGATCCCAAGTTCTTCATATTCAATCTCTCGTCGTTCTTCCTCTTCATCTGGTTCATCATCCCGTACTTCTACATCACGGAACACCTGAAGAAATACAACTTTCCTGAGGAAGATGCCGCCAATCTGATTGCCGTGATTGGCATTTTCAACACACTCGGGATGGTTTTCCTCGGCTGGGTTGGCGATCAACCCTGGCTCAATGTGAACAAAGCCTACGCTTTCTGCCTCGTCCGTGAGTGTTGTTGTTCTCTTGCACGTGATTCTTGAGACTCTGATGACGCTCTCTTTCAGTGTGCGGATCCTCTGTCTGCCTCATGCCCGTCGTCGGAGACAACTACGCTGCCCTCATAGCACTGGCGGTGCTCTTCGGCATCACGTTCGCTAGCTGCTTCTCCTTCACACCCATCATCCTCGTGCGCCTCGTGGACTTGGACGAGTTCACGTGCGCCTACGGTCTCGTGTTGCTGGTGCAAGGCGTGGGAAGTCTGATCGGACCACCCTTGGCAGGTGCAATTTACGACTGGACGCTGAGGTAACGCCGCCCACGCACTGGCGCCGCAATGAAAAGCTCATTAATCAATATCTTCCAGATGGGATGATTCGTTCTACGCGGCGGGATTCTTTATCGCCGTTTCCGGTGCTCTGGCCTACGTGACTGGCATCCTCGTGGACCAAGAAGATGAGGAGAACTACAGCAATCACTAATCCCCAGTGAACATGAGAATTTATCGCACACGAATTTCGCAATCAAAGTCACATGATAACTCATCTACTTCACTGCCGTCGTTCTTGTTGGAGTTGAAAGAAAAAAAAATGTTTGCAAGGAAACAGCACAAAATCACCACTCTTTAGATCAATACATAATGTTTATACACACAAATTTACTAATATAGCATAAATCTATCCATTCAGAGGATGAATATTTTCGAAATATTTTGAGGAATTCGTACAAAAACGTGATAAACCTTTTTCTACGAGAGACTGAACATCATTAAACGTTGTTATGTCTATAAAGATTTTTAGCTTTTAAACAATCCTTATAGAAATGTAGAACAATCAAATTGTAAAGCTTAGACAGAGAACAAAATACATCGATTTCTATAGAGTATTAGTCGAAATGTTAAAGTCTTGAAAATCTATTAAAATGATATCTTTTCTCTAAAAACAATCTGTCTTTCACTACAACTGGATTTCCACTCTCGACGATTGCACGAATTGAGAAACAGAAGAGTAAAGTGCATTGATTAAATTTTATTACACAAAATTTTACATAAAATATTCTTTTAAATATACTTTTCCATATTTAAATTTATGATTAACTTGTGAATGAAATTGGGGGTCTTTTTCATCATAGGAAACAAAATCCTTATTTTATTGTTTCATTTATTTAAAAAAAAATTCTTCACCCAAAATTCCTCCAAATAAAAGAAAACCAATTTGGTAACAGATTTAAAATTATATATCCTTTGAAATAAAATCACATTAAAAATCTCTCTTCAGTGGAGAGAAGAAAGCAAAGATAAAAAAAGGTGAAAAATCAAGGAAGTAAGAAAAAATCAATCTTTTCTTTCCAAAAAGCAACATTATTTCTGCATAAAATGTGTATGATTTTTTTTCTTCTTCGAGTAATGACTGTGATTAATGAAAGCAGCTCATTTCTTTCTCATCTTTCAATCTTTTTTTTTTAAACTCATTACACATTGTCTTGAGGAGGAAAATATGTTGAAAAATATTTTCCACACGCCTATACAAAGTTAGAAAATATTTTTTTCTTTCTATATTAGTTACAATCACTTGATTATTATTTCTAAATGTTTTTACCTCATTTAATTAATTTTTGACTTAAATTTTAATTATTTTCTGCTTCTCCCCAAATATTTTTCTTCTTCTTCTCCATTTTTTTTTAATTATGTGATCCGATTCAACCGCTTTTATGAAAAAATTCATCTTTTTCTTGTTCACTAAAAACGCATAGAAAAGAAATTGAACGCAAGGGTAATCCTTAACATTATCCCTTTTCCTTCTTTATATACTTATAAGTCACATACACAACTTATACTTTGACTTTCTGTATCAATTATTACAGCATATTAAAGTCATAGAGTTTTTTTTCATTTATTTTCCATATTATTTTTTATCCTTTATAAACTGGGTAAATATTTTACGTCCATAGCGATAGTGAATAAATTTTCCCCACTTCTTCTTCTTCCTGTGATCTACCATTGAGATTTTAATGAGACAAACCGCACACACACATGAGCAGATTTTCGTGGGCTTTCTTTTCTTTTTATTGGAATTAAAAGTGTCTCTCATCTTGTGATTTTCTTTCAGGGGAATTTCAGATGTCAACATACACTCACAGTCACGATGCTCCTTCCATTCGTTCGCGCGAAGACTCTCCTCTCGTGTTCAGCGAAGTCCCGAGGCTGATTTAGCAGCACCCGCCGCCCGGCTGGCCACTTTGATTTCCTCCACCGGGCAAGGAAGGGCTTGTTGGGGAATGTTGCTGGCCAATTTTAATTCCATTCGCCTGCAAAACACACACACACACACACACACACATTTAATCCCTCACTCATCCTCCGCATTCGTCTCCACAATGCTACAAACCTCGTTGTTTATGTCGAAAACACCCTCCTGAATCTTCTCGTAGATCTCCTTCGCCGTGTTGATGAACGCCTCCTCGACATTGGCAGCCGTGCGAGCGGATGTCTCCATAAAGACGAGCCCATGCTCCCGGGCGAACGCCTCGCCCTCCTCCTTCTTCACCTCGCGACGCGAATCCAGGTCACTGTCAAGCAAAGCCACACATGGGGTCAGTGTTTCAAGCGAGCGCGCAGGAGGCTCACCTCTTGTTTCCAATCAGCATGATGACCATGTTCGAGTTGGAGTGCTGCCGCGCGTCCTCCAGCCAGGTCGTGAGGTGGCTGAACGTCTCCCTGCGCGTGATGTCGTAGACCAGAAGGGCCCCAGCTGCTCCGCGGTAGTACGAGCGGGTAATTGATCTGAGGGAAATTGAGATGCTAATTAGTCAGCGCGTCTCACACAAGAGTGTCTTAAGGTCGAGATAATGATGATAAATTGACGAGTTGCTGAATATTTTTAGATGTTCTCACTGGGCTTAAAGCTCACAAACAATCGCTTTGGAATGAGCAGCAGAATGATTGTTTTATGTATTTATGTCAGATGAGTGAAATAAGACATGGTATTTCAGCAGAAAATGCTAATTTTCAAGGTAATCTGTTTTCATTTCAATATCTTCTTCAGTGCTCTTTTTTTTATTAGAAACTTTGTGTTCCCCTTCAGGTTTATGTATTCTTAATCCAAACATGATAATCCAGTCTTAATCAAGACAATGAAATGATTTCTGGCAACAAAAGAAGAACAGCTCTTCATTAACCACTCACAGTCATTGATAACACACTTCACGCATTGCTTACTCAAGACAGAATGGAACCAATCGAGAGCACAATATTTACTTACAGGCTTTATCGTAAAAACCCAGCTCAAAGTTCAAAGTTTGCCCCTACGAGAGATTTTCTTCCATCACATGCGAGAAGACTGGAGAATGGCGTGCTCTTCGGAAGGGTGTGAAAAATGAGGTGGAAAATTACTCACCTAAACGCCTCTTGTCCTGCTGTGTCCCAAATTTGTAATTTAATCTGTTTGCCATCAATCGTTATCATTCGGGCGCCAAACTCTACTCCAATGGTGAGATCATGAACAGGCTGGAAGCGCTTATCGGTGAACTGGAGGAGGAGACAAGATTTCCCGACACCTATAAAAAGCGGAGAAAGTTTATTGATTTCCAGCCGCAAATTTCTCCGACTCCCGAGCGCGGAACCATATGGAAGTCATCCAACTAAGCGTCCCTTGCAGAGTGCCGGGATTTTGTTGTCACATAAACATTCTGGGCACTTTTATGACTCATTGACAGCGCCAAAAGCGCGCCCTCGATTCTGCGAGGACTTTTCTTTGCACAGACAGCAAAGTGTCGCTGTGTTTGTTTTCCAGGTCACTTTGTATGGCAGCAGAGAAAATGCCCAGGGGAGTACTGATGAATCATCTGGAGAGCATCGGAAAGGTCGATGCTGATTAAGAAAACAACAAAGACGACGGAGAAACGTGGAAAATATGTGATTTCGAGACTGAAAATTGCGTGACACGCATTTTCGTCACTTCGATCCGCTTGTCTGCGTGTGGGTGTCTCCTGATCCCGCCCAAAGCGCCCTTTAATCCCTCCCAAGGCCCACAAAAGTCCTTCCGGCTGCCCAGAAATGCCCCCGGAAGAAAGCTGTGGCATGTTTCATTGCGTAAAATGCACTCAATCGTGTGTTTTTGTGTCTCTCTGTTCGGAGAAGAAAGAAACTCTGGGATAATATCGATTTTTTACTCACCCGTATCACCAATGATGATGTACTTAAATAAATACGCATACGACATTCTGTCTCACACACAATTCGACTCTCTGCACAAAATACACCACTTTTGCTCACTGCGGAACACCCTGAAACGCAATTATCGCAGGTTTTTTGCAGCAGAAAATAATTCACACAATTTTTTCTTCGCTCTTCGAACAATGGTGAAACGTCATCTCTTTGACAGCTGCGTTCAATCGAAAAAGCTCGACCCGGCTGTAATTCGCCGAAAAACATCCCCATTCGCGTATGTGATGATTTGATGTGGCGACAAAGCTTCACTTCAATATAAGTCGTTGTTTTCCAATATATGGTTTATTAAAAGAGAATGTGGAAAATCACGAATTCTAAGCGATCTGTTTCGCGTAATAATAATTCCAGTAATTCCCAAAGCGAGGCGGTTTGCTGGGTTGTTGACAGTCAAAAACAGCAGTTTTTTCACTGCGCAATGAGCTTTCAAAATGGCCCCCTGAAGAGCATCAAAATAGGGTTTTGTGTTGCCTTTTCACGCATTTTTACCCCATTTCTCAGGTGAAAAGTGCCCCTTTCCACGCGAAAAACGTGAACACAAGTGCTCGAGAGTCCTTTGGATCTGGTGTGAGGCGCCATGACGCAGTATTTACCGCCGAATTTGCTGGCTCTGTTCGCCCCACGCGAGCCAATTCCCTTCCTGCCGCCTCCGGATAAGCTGCCCCATGAGAAGAAGTCGCGGGGCTACATTGGCGTGGGGGCTTTTCTGCAGTTCTTCGAGGTAAGTTCGAGGGATTGAGTGGAGGGTGGACGAGAGGCTCATGTTTTGGATGCTTGCAGGACCCCAATGACACTCCGCCGCCGACTCGGGTGGAGACGCGCGAAGAACGGATGGAGAGACGTCGCCGGGAGAAGGCTGAGCAGGTGGCGTACAAGTTGGAGAGGGAGATCGCCCTGTGGGATCCCCACCAGGTGAAGCACGCCACGGAAGATCCCTTCCGGACGCTGTTCGTCTCAAGAATTGTGAGTGAATCGATTTCCGCAGGCGCACGCCGGAAATGGTGACGCAGTGTTAATTATTGTGATGTTTTTCCTTGCAGAACTACGATACATCAGAGTCAAAGTTGAGACGTGAATTTGAGGTTTACGGCCCAATAAAGAAGATTATCTTGATTCACAACACAGAAGATGGTCGACCACGAGGTTACGCTTTTATTGAATACGAACATGAACGGGACATGCACTGTAAGTACAAAGTGTTGGCTTTCCTCTTGCAATTTGTCCATCGAGCTGACGGAAGATCATTGATTGACTATTCAAGGGGGAAATCCTGTGAACGCCCACAAGATTTCCCTTTAGTGATCAGGAGAAGTGCTTCAAGTCACTTGTTCAGTCTATTTCAAAAAGAAACCCCTTCACTTTTTGTTTTTACTGTTCTACATTTTGTTTTACTTTTCTTACGAAAATCTGCTCGAGGAAAATAGTAATTTTGTTGGTCAAAGACGGTTCTTGCAAAGCATCCTCAATGATTTTGTTTATTTTCTCAAAATATTGTCCTATGAAAGAAAAAGAAGTAGAGAAGAAAAACCTTGTTTAATTTTCAATCTCCACTTTATAATGTTTTAACTTTTTCTGGTGTTGTAAACTCTCACTAATTCGCGTTTTGTTCTTTATTTTTTAACACAGTCTCGGATTGAATGAAAGTCTGCCTCCTCAACATAAACTGTTCGTTGTGAGTTCCCAAAAAAAAACAGAGAGAGAAAAAAAATAGTTTAAAAAAATGCATCTCAAGTCTCGCAAACGAACAGAAAAAAAGAGAGTTGAGATAATGCGCTAAAACACTAAAGAAATCCTTTGAAAGTTGAGAAAAAGAGCAAAATGACGAAAAGATTAGGTTTGTATGTGTTTGGTAAGAAAAACCATAACATACAACTGATAAATAATTTTTTCTTCTAAAAATTATAGATGATTTTGAACATTACGATTGATTCTTGAAGTCTGCAGACTTGTTTTTTCCTCTTGTTTTAAGAGATTTTATGAAAATTGCAGAACAAAAGTCTGTTTTTTAAGTTCAAAATAAAGCATGAAGGCAAGTTGTGCGGTTTCAGGAGTCAATCAAGAGGGTCAGGCTTGAAGGAGAAGGTAAAAAGCAGTTCAAGGGAGTTTTCAATAGAGTTTAACACATTTTATAATGGAAAAAAACGGGAAAGATGAAAAAATCCAGAGCAATATTTTTGATTACAGTGATATTGTGGAAGGTATTTTCTTCATTTATCTTTTTATTTTCTTCATCTACATAACTTTTGCAGCAAATTCTTTTTGTTTTTACTCTTTCATCTTTTAATTTACATAATCTATGCATATAGAAATGTGATATATTTTTTTTTAAACTATAAATAATTATAAACTTGCGCGTGTACGTAAGTATTTGCGCACCAGGTAAAAAAAAAGCCAAAAGTCCACTCGATCCACTTGGGACAAATCTCTCCAAAAACACAAACAAAAAAGTAAAAAAAAAGTCACTAGAAAAAGTTCCAAAATCTCGATTCACACACAAAACATCTAAAAATCGGTTTAAAAATGCCAAAAACCTTTCCCGTAAGTAATACCGGGGTAGGTATTATTATTATTTATTTGTTCAAGAGAAAAAATAATGAGGAATTTAGACAATTTTGCCCCTGATTTCAATGTATTTTGAAAAAAGAGAGAAACAGACTTTCAAAATCTTCTAGAAACATATTTTTTCCTTCAATAAATCTCATTTCGGAATTGATAAACTTCACAATACTTCCTAATTCTGAGAGTCTGGTGATCCATTCCCTTCCAAAGTGTCTTCTAATCCTGGTTAATTAAACTTCTTTCTGTTCACTACATTCAATAAAATTAAGAGAAAAAAAAAGATTCCCCAATTCAGATTATGCTGTCAAAAAGAAAAAGTTCTCTTCACTCCATATTCGGGGTACATTTTTTCCAATGTGAGACATGAAAGATGATGCATTTGAGAATGATATATTGGCAAAGATAACAGAATGCACATGGGCGATTGTGAGTGATTTTTACTAATTTTACTATGTGTTTCAGCCGCTTATAAACACGCTGATGGTAAGAAAATTGATGGGAAGCGCGTGTTGGTGGATGTTGAGAGGGCCAGGACGGTGAAAGGATGGCTGCCCCGTCGCTTGGGTGAGTCTCTTAGTCATTTTATTGTCCTGTTCGCCGCTTAAAACCAAAGGCTCTAAACACTGTCAAGTTGTTGAGTCTTTTTGAAGTGCTGGCCAGATTAGAATGACCTTCATCACTCCACGGATAGGATGAGCCAAAGTTGTCCACTTTTTGGTCACTGTCCACTTAACCGGGGCCGACAAAACCCTTGAAAATTAGGTGTTTAGCATAAGCTTATGAGCAGGATGGCTAATGCGATTTCTATGCTTCCAGGTGGCGGACTTGGAGGAACGCGCCGCGGAGGACCAGACGTGAATATCAAGCATTCGGGACGGGAGGACAATGAACGCGAGCGGGAGCGCTATCGCATGGAGCGTGAGAAGGAGGAGCGCGATCGTCGCGATCGAGACAGTGAGATCAGCTGAAGGCAGTTGAGAGAATCTCTTTTACAACCCTTTTCTTCTGTCTTTCAGGATTCGAGAGGCGTCGCAGTCGATCTCGTGAGCGCGTTCCACGTGAGCGTGAGCGATCGCGGCACAGGAGTCGATCGCGTGAGCGCAGGAAGCGTCGCAGCAGAGACAGGAGCGACTATGAGGACATGGAGCGCGATAGGATGCGCGATCGCGATCGTCGTGATCGCGAGAAGAAGCGCAAGAGGTCGCGATCACGCGACCGCGACAGGGCGGACAGGAAGAGGGACAAGCGTGACAAAGATCGCGATCGTGATCGCAAGGAGAGGAAGCCAGAGTTCCGAGAAGGAGACATCAAGATCAAGGAGGAGCCACTCGATGGTGAGTGATTTGTTTGCTAAGTTCCCCTTTATGCATATCCCGAGGGGCGTTGAGGTGTTCCACTGGGGAATTCCTCGGACCCTCCTGTGCTAGAGGAAATGTGTGATCTTGAGGAGGACCTCGATCGCAGAGATTTACAGGGCCCTTAAGCTCCGTTCTGAGAACTCCTCAGAGTTCCTCTGAGTTTCTGGGTAGTATAAATCTCTAACAATCTCCATCTAATCATTCTTGACGGCGCTGAAAGGTATATTTCTATCCTTTTCATTGTGTTCCCTGCAGATTATCCTGATTACTCGGCACAGTACGCGAATTACCAAAATGACGTGAAGTATGAAGAGGACGAGGAAAAATATCGTATCCCGGAAAATGGACAGTCGTACAGCCAGAGTGACTGAGAAACGAGCGAGTGGAGTAGAATTGTGAAAAATTATACTTAAAATTGTAATATTTGGCAATGAATTGAGCAAATAAATTCAGATTTCGCGCCCAGAGCCGGCTATGAATTCCAGGGCGTGTGTGGCGCCGCGGGCGACAGTGTCCCGAAACTGTTTTTGCTCTTCGTCGATTAATCGATTTTTGGGCTGTCATTCCTGGATGTTCAAGACTTGACACTCAGCCATTTTGTTTCCAATCGTGCGAATTTATTTTGTAGAGTAATTTTCATTTTCGCAGTTTTTCATCATATCATTTTATCAGTTGTTGTTTAATGTATGCAGCAGAAGTAGCTACAATGCTGGGTAAGTTAAATTTGCATGTAGTTTGCATGGGGCGGATGCCGACGGGTGGCGAAGGTGATTTGTGCGTTCAGTGTGAAAAAGTGAGGTTAGGTCGATGCTCTTTTCACCCTCTGGGAAGGGATTTTCCCGGCTTTGGGGCTCCCCACGAGGCTAGACATGACTGAAGGAGGCGCGTTGAGCGGCTGGCAGATTGGAGGATTGGGGTGAACAGAGCTAGGCAGGGCGGAAGAGTGGTTGAGAGGGAGTAAACGCATATTGCGTGTTGGGGGCATTGTCCCGGAGTCTCACAAAGAATTACTGCATCCTGGCGTCTCATTCTCACTCGGATGCTCCATTGTTGTCCTCCCCGCGCCGCTGTGCGCCCATTCCCTCCGCCCGGGGACTTCCTAGAGCGCAGAATAGTGACTGGTAATGTGTGATTGAGGAACGCGTCATAGATTGTCCGGATTTTATCTGGAACAAGTGGCGCGGAGTGGGGACAGTCTGAGTGTGAGATAAGGCACTTTTTGGGGAAGCGCTACCACCGATAATGTCGCCACCTTATCAAATTCCAAACAAGATGAGCAAGTTTTCATGCGAGTCTCTAGCGTCGCTTCTGGGACTTTTTTGTCCCGCGGCTGCACAGCGCGACGTGCCTTTGTTCCGCTGATTCCGGCTAAATTGTCCCCTTGGCCAAGGAAAGGGGGCACGAGACTGGCGAGCGCTCCGTCTGGTCATTGTATTGCTGTTTATTATTTTCTTCCGTATCGCCCCTCAAGGCCGCGAGCTCTCGGCGCTGCTGGTGCACCGCTGCGTGAGTCATCGCGAGTGCAGAGCGACGCAATACAGCCGTAACTGCATCCCGAGAGCATCCCTCAGCCGTCCGCGGGCGATGTTGCTCGCCTTTGCGCGGATTTGCGCCTTCGGCGGGGCTCAAATTGTTGATACACGCATTGTGTACACTTTCTTCCGTCCATTTGTTTTGATTACGTTTTCTATTTGCTCTTTTTAATCCGCCGCGGAAGACGAGAGAGGAGCAAAAAGTCGGCAATGAATGTGAGCAACCCCGTAAAACGGTAATAGATTTGTGGGAAAAGTCTCTGATTTTCCAAGAGAAATTGATTAGACGTTGAGATAAGCTGAATCCTTGCAACACCTATTGTGCTGCTCAGCACCTGAGATTAAATCCTTTTCGGGGAAATGAGAATTATAAGATAGAGAATAGTGGAAAATTTGTTCTCTTTTACTATTCATCTAATTTGACTCATAGTCCAGTAATTTTCATATTTTATTCCTCTCGAGTTTTAGTTGACTATTAAAAACGGTTTGTGTGGAAAATTCTGCGGATTTCCAGTGGATAAACAAATTGTTTTCTAATTTATGCATAAACTGTGTGATCAAATAATTTTACTTGGAGATCAGCAGTATTTTTATGAGTTTTTCGTTCAAACCAGTAAAGTTATTGACCCCTCATTAATTAATATTTTGAAGAATTTTCTCCTCGTCTTTGAATACTCCCAAGATTGATACCGGATTTAACGTATTAAACTTTTGTTTATGGATGTACATTAACTGTAAAATGCCAATCAAAGTCGTAAAATTATTTGCAAAATTTAGATATCAATGCTAATTTAATGATAAGAAACTAATATTCTTCTGCTTGTGTGCCAAGAGATTTTTCCGACAGAATTTTATGTAAATTTCTCTTGCACACATCGTGTGTGTAGAATTTTGTGGGTGAATCGATGAATTTATATCTTGGCTTATTTATCAATGACTCTTCCCCGAGATGGCGCTTTTCGCGAGTGCGTGCGATGTTGGAAACCCCTCAAATGTCGGCACAAGTAGCGCCGCGCTTAGTGAGTAGGAAAGTGCGTGTGTGATAGACACGGCGTGGTTCCGAGCCACGTTTTTTCATGTTTTTCTACTGCTCCCCATCTTTGCGGGATGGGCAAAAGGGCGAAGAAATTCCTGAGACTAATGCGAAAATGCAGTGGAGTGTCAATATTTCCTGTTCTCTTTGCAGCAAAAGGTGATTTCTTCCTCGATGACACGGGAAAGGAGGAGAATTTGACTAGATTTGGGTAAGTTTTATTAATGTTTTCTATATATATAATTATTCAATTGTGTATTTCAATTATTTGATAGATATTAAAATTGAATAATTTATGAAAAAGCATGAGAGATACTTTTCCGGATGATTTTTACTGAGGAACAAGCTGAAAAGTGGGTGAAATGTGAGAGGAGGAAATGTCTGGGAGTTTAGAAAAATGGGGCCAAGGGAAATTGTCTATTTTTACTGGCAATTTTCTCTTATTTCTTGCATGAAAATATCTACAGAAAAGTCACTAAAATAGATTTGGGAGACACGTGAAATCACTTATTGATATCTTTTATTCAATGAAAGCCTTTTCCCCTTATATGTGAGGGAAAAGATGTTTAAAATGCACCGCAAACTCATCTGCAAAGGAGAGAAAATGCGATGAGTGGGAAAAAGCTTGAGAAAACTCGGTGAAAAGCTACAAGAGGGAAATCCTTTGTTGATGTCACAGAATGGGGACTGTTGTGGATTCTTTCCTGGCTTTTTGTCCATTGTTTTCCTGACTCCTTGAACACTTGCGCTGGGAGAGCGTAAGTCACACAGATATTGCAAGTGAAAGGAGAAAGTAAAATGAGTGGAAAAGAGAGTAAAAATCATCCTTTGGCGCTTGAGTTGCTTGAAAATTGGGTAGGATTATGCTTTGTGCGACTTTTCCTCACTATTTTCAACTTGTATGCAAGTTGGAGAGAAAATTAGCTGTCATTCTATTTGTGTGCTTTCCCAACAGACATTGTTCTGTTTTGTTCCATTGCTCAATGACAATCCTGACCTCAGGCAACTGCACTCCAGGTGGAGAAGCGCCACGTGAAAAGGGGGGGAAGAAAGGACGTGGAAATCACCACAAAAGGGAAATGATCACTTCCCTCTCGTGCGCTCCGGTTCGTCTTTTTTTTTGTTCTAAATGCTATATTTTCTTCCTTGTGAGACAAAAAACTGACCAGACGCTCGTCAGGAGTGAATGTGTGGAGGGTCTATAATTAGATTTGGCGAATTAATTGTGTGTTTGATGTTACAATGTATGAGAATCATACGGTTAACCCATTCGTTCGGGGCGCGAAAGAAGTGAGCGCGAGATTATTGGAGGTGTTGCTTGGGAAGCACGATAACACTCTGGATTGTTACCACAAAATCTGTTTATTTCATGTTCTGGGTGTTTGCCTAAGATGTTTGCTGATAAAGAATTTGATTTTTAAATATGAGTAATCACGGAAAAACATCGAAGACGCTGAGAAATATTGGAAATTGTAGTTTAACAGAAAAGTAACTTCTTGCTTTTTTGTCTTCTTATCATAGCTTGAATTTGCTGTTCAATGGATTACCATCAAATCTCTTGAAAATTCTTGTTTCTTTATCTACTTAGTATGTTTAAGTCGTGAAAACGTGAAAATCTTTATGGTTTTATTTGCCATGCAAAACGGAAGCTTTTGCAAGAAATCCACGAAAGCTTCTTTCATGGTTTTTGGAGAGTGTTGAAAAGCTTGCGTAGGATCTTCACTTGAATTTGTGACAAAATTCCTTCTTCCTCATTATCATTTTGCCAATTTCAGGACTTTCCCTGTGGCTTTTCCAATTCAATTACCGCACTTTGGGAAATTGCAAGCGCGAAGATGTTTCAGACATGTCGTAATTGAAGGATAACGCGTGCTGATGGGTTAAGAGAATGGAAGAGGATGGCAACACGGTGGGAAAAAGACGAGAAAAGGTATTTGTGGTTTAGAGACGAGAGAGAGAGAAAGTGAGGAAAATCGACAAATTTTCTCGCACAGAGCTTTTCCTTGATGGCCTGAGAGACGGGCGCGATGTTGCGTGTGTGATGTATTGGAGTGGTTTTTCTGGTGCGCCTTTCGGCCGAGCGGGTGAGCGAGCGAGAGAGTGCGTTTTGGGATAGACTAGAAGAGTGTCTAGACGTTCTTTTTGACTATTGGGTGCGTTGCGCATTTTAGATTTCCTCCGCATGTCTGGTTTAATTTTAGGCCCAATCGTGCCTTAATAATAGTCGCGAATGTGGCTGAAATAGTGTGGAGACGCGTCGCTTGGATGCCGGAGATGGATTTTGGTGTGTTTGAGAGAGTACAACATGCGCGAGAGGGGGAGGGACGTGTGGGCCTTTCTTTTGAGGGTGCGTCACATGGATGACGACTGCATATTGGGCCTGTCTCGAGGGAGGTTCTCCTTGTCGCGCAAGTGATCGTGCCACAGAATTTCCATCATCTGCATCGCGATGATCGCGCGTCATTATTATTATATTTCTGGGGGCCCCCTGGAAAAAGAGCGAGAATGGGAAGCCAGTGTGCTCGAGGAGGGAAAACACCTGTCGAGAGTGTGGCTATGGAGAAGTGGAAGAAGCAGGAGGAAGCCAAGGAGCAGTTGGTGTGGCGAACGCCGCGATGTTTGGCTTGTGCCGATCGAGAAACACTTGGTCGCTTTTTTTTCATCGTCATCATCACAATGCTCTCTTCCTTACACAGCCATAATAAAGTTGAGAGAGAAAAGGGCAAACATTTTATAATAATTTCATGTGGAAACAAAAGAGAGGGGGAGGTCAATGAGGATCAGAGGATGGGGGAGGGGGGGTGGAGGGCGAGAGACAAAAGGAACTACTTTTTCTTGAGATGGGCGTTGGGCTCCCTCGTGTTGGTGGGGTGTGTAAGAGAGGGAGAGGGAGGAAATTATGTGTAAAACACTTGAGGGCAATTTTGTGAAGAAATTCAATGTAATTCTTTTGTTCTATATGTGTTTTTTTTGTCTTCTTCTTCTGCGTTCCTACTCTCTTATTCGCCTTCGAAAACACATCTCCTGTGAAGGAAACAATTGGACGTGAATTGCCCTCTGGGGACACAGACAAAAGGATCTCCGTGAGTAACACCATCGGAAATTTCTCGGGAAAACACATTGAATGGCGATGAAAAGGGAGGAAGCGAGAGAGAGAGAGTGAGGTGATATTTTCGGGGAGGACTAAAAGTGAAAAGGATACCTTGAAGTAGTCTCTGGGAGAGTTGAATTGGGAAATTCAGGTTTTTCTAGCACAATTCTTCTTCATATTTGATTTCTTTTCGTCTACAGTGTGATTGTATATGTGAATAGATCTCATAATGTATACCGGATGTCTCCCTCTTCTTTCTCACTCTTCACACTCTCACATACTTTTATTTCTCGCCTTTTTTCTTCTCTACGACTATTTAGAATGGGTATAAAGTCTCTTAAAGCGTTTTATACAAAGCATTTTCACCGTCATTGGGTGTTTTTTTGGTGGTGGTGGTGGTGGTGAAAGGAGGATAGTTATACATGTGTGTGACTCTCGAGTGCTTTCATCTCATTCACACAATTTTTCCCTCCATTTTTGAGTGCTTCACTGTCGTCCGGATGTTTGCTTGAGGTTTGAAAAATGTATAGGAAAGGCAGATGGGGCTTCTGAAGCGTCTATTTCATCATGAAAATGGAACAGATAAGAATTTCCTGTCCAGATCCTAACAATTTACTATTGTTTATTTTGAGAAATTTCTGCAATTTTCCAACCTATTCCACACAAATACATCTGAATTTCCATACATTTTGTGGATGTTGTGCATTAAAAAATCCACTCCTGATGATGATGATGATAACTATCGGACAAATTCCTCTTTGGTTGAGGATTTTTGAGTCTTGAAATTGGGATAGTGGTTGATTGTTTAGTGTTGAGGCCTTTGATGATTTTCATCTAGATGAGGGTTCTCTCTCATTGCTATATGCTGTCCGCAGACTACACAGCGTGCATGTAAAGATTTCAGTGTACGCGATCGACAGAGGGTTTTTCCCTCCAAAAAGGAAGAACATCTGCTCGTCTCTGTTGCTCTTTATTGTGTTAGGCCATCGTTAAGAGTGTTTTTGTAGAGTGAAAAAAAAAGTATCTGTATTTGTGAGTATGACGATGTTTCATGGGACAGATGTTTAGGGAGTTTTATGAACCTTCCTTCGTACAGAATTTCATTTCGGCTTTTTACCCATTTTTGGACTAATTTTGTCAGACGACAACGCTCTGAATGGCTGAAGATTGTTGAGAGTTTTTTTTATTGTGATTTCTCACAAACCGCAGTTGTGCAAATGACAATCATATTAGTCTGAAAACAGTCCTGAAAGGTGGAAAATCCTGTCGGATAATTGAATATGATGAAAGTACAACAATAATTCTTCCAAAAATGAAAAGTTCATTCGACCACCGCTAGAGGCGCTAGAGTCCATAATGAGATTTTGAAGCGAAACAAACGATCTCTTTTTTTCTCGAATTGTTCCTATTAGATTTTATCTTCTTGATGAATATCAATCATGTTATTATTTCATGTAATGATATTCCTAACATGACTTCTTCCATTAATACTTTATCATACATATTTCTGGTTAGTTGGAAAAACATAGTTTTTCTCATAAACTTAGCAATGCAAATTCTTATCAATGTTCTTCTTATTTACTGAATGCAAAAGCTTCTCTATGCCATGAATAGTGTGAAGAGTGGCTGATGTGCAATTCTGAAGCTATTTCGTTGACTTTCCACTCCATTTTCCTCTGCATGTATGGCACATCAAGGCCCAAATGTGTTCATTTTCCGCCCCGATCGCTTAGGCAATGATGTGAGAAATTTTCACACCTTTTGAGGTTTGGCGTCTAGTTGTGAAGTGTGATAGTGCCCGGAAGCGGAAATGCTATTGATTTTATGTTTCTCATCTTCATCACAGTGCATCAATATGGGATGGCGACTGTGTATGTGTCAATCGATTGAAGATGCATCGGGAGAAATGGGGAGTGAGAGTGACTGAGGGAAGAGAGAGAGTGTGTTTGTGATATCCGCCATCAATTCCGCTGTTGTGCATTAGGCTGCTGAGGCGCTGGATATGTGCATATATGTATCTAAGGGGTGGGCCTGGAGGGATGACGGCGGCACAGCGCGAGAGCGAGTGAGAAGCCTGCCACAGGGTGTGTCAATGTTAATATTGGTTTTCTGTGTTGCTCGTGAGGTCTCAGGATGAGCCACAGAAAACGGGATGGAAGCGACAGAGGGTTGCCGAGGGGCGCAAGCATACACATGCATGTGTGTGGCGGGAAGAGGGAAAAGCTTTAAAAGTGAAGTGAAGGGAGAGAGGGAATATCGTCTGCGTCGCGTCCTGACCTGCTTCAATGCAATCGCATCCGGCGGTCGTCGCGGTCGCAAGCCTCCTCGTTGTATGTGGAATGAAATGAGAGGAGAAGAGAACTTTACACAATTGGGAATCACATTTTCAAGCATCACCCCTTCCTCTTTCTCACTCCTTCTCTCTCTCCCTCTCTCTCACTCATGTTCATGGGAATTGTTATTTTTTATTATTATTTTTAGACTTCTTGCTGTCGGTCCTTCTTGTCTGTCGCTATGTGTGTGTGTGTGTTTTTTTCTCCAGTTATGGGACGAAATGATGTAAAGGGTGTGCACAGCAGTTCCTTTGACAAATAGACGATGGCATGACAACTGTGGGCGGATGGGAAGACTCGAAATCTTGTCCATTTCAGAGCCATTGGATTGGCGGTCAGAGTGGGAAAACTCAATTATATCAATCAGGAGACAAATCTCATATTGATGTCATCATCTGATACCAATTGCGGATTTCCGCTTCTCTGACATGTTTATCCTCTTGAATTTGATGGGAATCGTTGGAAGATGTACTTGACAAGTGTGGTGATCGTTGTTTGCTGAAAATTACCAATAACGATGTGAAGAATGCAGTCGAAGATTAAATGTCTCAGAGATTATAATCAATTTGTCTGTTATATAAAGCCAGACAAACTCACTTGGTTGATCTTCAATTTTTGTATTTCATGACTTTTTATGTGAGTTAAAATGGTATGTTTTGGTGGAAGTTTAATTGAATGGGGTTCAAGGGTGAGATTTTCCGTGGTGGTAGAAGATATTGGGAAACTCAATTATCTCCATTGCTCTTGATTGTGTCCAAACTTGCCTGGGTGAGAGAGAGAATATTTGCTTCCAACACTCCATCATTCATCAAATATAGCTAGTTAGTTATCAAACAAATACGATCTGTGAATAATTGTGCTGAAATTACTCATAATTTCACATTGAGAGTTTGTATTTGACTCCCTCAACATTTCTGCAATTGTACGATAATGGTTGGAAAATGTGTGGAAATTGCAAGATTACACGAGACTATGTAATTTATATATTGAAGTTTGTGTGAATTGCGAAAGGATGGAGAAGGAAAGCTAACAAATTTTGTACATTTCTCCATACAAAGTCTTGATTTTCCATTTTATTTCTTTTTTTTTTTTGCTTCCTTGTCGCTCGATGTCATGCGGGACAAAATTGCAATAATTTATTGACTTGTGTGTGCCACCACAGAGCGAATTAGTTGCACTTCTCACATACGCATGGGGCTGAGATAATAAAGAAAACCAGTAAATCATTCTAAATTGTCCAGGTGTTTGATTCTGAATCATTTGTGCATGTGAGAGAGAGTGAGTGTGATTTTTTTTCGTATGTTGGCCTTTTCGGGGTGGGTAGCAGAAATTTATGGGCACATTGTTGAATTTTGCATCGAAATTCGGGGTGAGATATATGACATTGTGCGGTGGAGAGATGCATATGAACCATTCTCACTCTCGCTCTGTTCAATTTCATGCAAATTTGCAATTTATCGATTAATCTGCAGCACCTGTTCTCCATCTCTCTGGCTCCGTGATTAGGTTAATAGTCAAAGGGAATTCCCTGGAAATTCACAAAATGTCTCTTTTAAACATTGCATGGTGATTGTGTTGAGTCATGGTTGGGGCGTGAATTGTGTAAAATGTCCACAGCCAATGCTGTGTTTAGTTATTGGGGCTAAAGCTAGAGAGTTATAGTTAAGGATTTAATGTGTGTGATGACCAGCAGGGTAAAGTTATAAATGAAATGAACACCTTGACTTGTTAGTTGTTTATGCCTCTGGGTGGTCAATTTGGATGTGGCGAAGTGTGGTCGAGAAATTTGCTCATCTAACCACGTGCCAGACGCTCGTCTCACCTCCTTTGCAGTTAATATTGGATACCTCATGATGCAGTTTAGCACAAAATGTGCTCTGCCTCCAGTTTGACTCCTCACTGGCACACACAAGCGCGCTCCTGGGAGGACGATTTATGCTGAATTGATGCGGTGTTAGTGGATTTTTTGGAGGATGCAGCTGCTATATCTGCCCTTTTTTGCCTCTCCATGGATCTTCTTGATGTGCAGCACACGAAAGATGTATTTTGAGAGTTGAAATGAGAGCAGCTGCTGCAATTTTTGGACACCTTCGTCTTCATCTCTGACGATGAGTGAATTTCATCTATGTTCTTCCAGTGTTTTAGGGAGTTCTTTTCCATGACACGATGTGTCACCTTTTGGTGTTGACTTGATTTGAGGATGTCGGAGAGTTTGTCTCCATCTGGCACATCTTTCTCGTGACGAGGGTGGATTTTCTGAGACATCTTCAGTCTCTTTGCCAGATGAATATGATATTTTCGTCAATGTTTATTGCTTTTATGCACAGTGGAGGGAATATTAATAGCACTTTAAAAGGGAGAATAAATACAATTCAAATGATATTGTTCTATTTTTCAAAGTTAAATTAGTTCTTATGTCCTGATTGGGCTTTGATTTGCCGTTTAGAAGGTTCTAATCATTCGCTAAATGCGTTTGTGCTATTTATAATTCCTCTCGTGTTTGTGGGATGGTTTTGGAGGGAAAATTATGAGAGTCCAACACGTGTTTTATTTCTATCTTCGAGAGTCGTCTCGCCAGCCAACCCTCCACATGCGTGTCTTCGTTTGTCGCGTGGTGGATGATGCCAAAAATGAGTACACATGGTTGAATGTTGCGTGT